CCTTACTCCAGAACTCCTTACAGTGGACATGTATCCAAGTAAGTCACTAAACTGATCCTTACTCAGTCCTGTCAAGTCATTATAATTTTCTTCAGTCATGAGTGCAGGTATATCAAAGTTTAAACGTGAAGATGTCATTTTCATTATTGTTCTTAAATCATTTAAGAGACCTGTTATGTCAGTACGAGAAAAATATTCATGCTGTTTTGATGACTGTAAAACATCTAATGCTTTCATCTTAAAAAATCTACTTTCCATATGTGTTTTGCAACATCGACTTTTTTGGTTAATGAAAATTCCTTTTTCAATACATGATTGAGTTCTGGCTTCAGATGTTATTGTTACCAGACGATGCCGCTTGTTTCCTTCCTTCTTACATACAATGCAGTACCTGTGTGTTTTTGGTGCAATTCATCTGTTAGGAGTGTCTTTAATATACCACTGCAGCAGCGTCTTCTGTTATTAAGCTGGCATCTTTTCTTACAAAGACAGCAATTCACAGACTTTGTCATCTTGTAAAAATACTGGAATAGAAAAAAAATAAAATGAAACACTGTGAGCATTATGGACATAATTAATGGACAAAAAGAATATATGTATATATTTCATTACCTGAAGATCTGTTAAAGCAGTGAAAGTGCTAGTAAAAGTGATGAATTGAAACCGTTATTATCTTATATTTATTTTCTTACATATTATATATATATATATATTTTTTTAAATGCCTAAAAAGTGTACAAAAAAACACCAATAACAAACAAGAGGCTCTCAAGAGCCTGAATCGCTCACCTGTATTTCAGAGGAGAAGATTTTTAAATGTAAGCAAACTTGATGAACAAATTGTGTAAAATTGTCTTTAAAGGGCAATAACTCATTAAGGGGTCAATTGACAGTTTTGGTCATATTAATTTTTTTGTAGATCTTACTTTGCTGAACATTATTGCTGCTTACAATTTATATATATCTATAATAATATTCAAAATAATAACAAAAAACTGCAAAATTTTGTTAAAACTACCAATTCGGTGGCAGCAACCCAACAATGGGTTGTTCGATTCGTCTGATATATTCAGGGCCGATAGATCTTGACCAATTAAACAATTTTACCCCCTGTCAGAATTGCTCTATAAGCTTTAGTTTTTGAGATATAAGCCAAAAACTGCATTTGACCCCTATGTTCTATTTTTAGCCATGGCGGCCATGTTTGTAGAACAATCAAAACTTCGGATACAATTTATAAACTAGATACCCTAAGGAACATTTAGTTAAAGTTTGAAGGTATTTGGCCCAGTAGTTTCAGAGGAGAAGATTTTTTAAATAGTTCATCACGACAGACGATGACAAACGACGACAGATGACGACGACAGACGATGGACGCCAAGTGATGGCATAAGCTCACATGGGGCCCTTGGGGCCCCTGTGAGCTAAAAATGGAGTTGTAGATTTGTATCCTAACTGTATATATATAGTTGATAAAATAGAATAAAATGGCCCGCAGGGCGCAGCTTGACACAACGGCAGAGGTCGAACTCTGAACAATTGGGGCAAGTATGAAAACAACATTCAAGCTTGATGCAACTCTGAATTTGGATTGTGATTAAATATTTGACACAGCATAGGTTTCTGACACAGAATGAATGTGGTCTATGAACTTAAAAATTTTAAATTGGACATTTACCTATTATGGTCCAATATCCCAAATCTAAATACATGGTTAGATTCAGCATATCAAAAAAAACAAATCAAGATCCCCATATATGCAATTTTTGTTGAAATCAAACAAAGTTTAATTTTGGACCCTGATTTAGACCAACTTGAAAACTGGGCCAATAATCAAACATCTAAATACATGTTTAGATTCAGCATATCAAAAAACTCAAAAATTCAATTTTTGTTAAAATCAAACTAAGTTTTATATTGGACCTTTTGGACCTTAATGTAGTCCAATTTGAAAACAGGAACAAAAATTAAAAATCTAAATATACGGTTAGATGCGGCATATCGAAGAACCCCAATAATAATTTAATTTTTGATGAAATTAAACAAAGTTTAATTTTGGACCCTTTGGACCTCAATGTGGACCAATTTAAAAACAGGGCCCAAAATCCAAAAGCGTAATACACCGTTAGATTCAGCACATCAAAGATCCCCATATATGCAATTTTTGTTGAAATCAAACAAAGTTTAATTTTGGACCCTGATTTAGACCAACTTTAAAACTGGGCCCATAATCAAAAATCTAAATACATGTTTAGATTCAGCATATCAAGAAACTCAAGAATTCAGTTTTTGTTAAAATCAAACTAAGTTTTATATTGGACCTTTTGGACCTTAATGTAGTCCAATTTGAAAACAGGAACAAAAATTAAAAATCTAAATACACGGTTAGATGCGGCATATCAAAGAACCCAAATAATTCAATTTTCAATGAAATCAAACAAAGTTTAATTTTGGACTCTTTGGACCTCAATGTGGACTAATTTAAAAACGGGGCCCAAAAATTCAAAAACTTAATACACGTTTAGATTCAGCATATCAAAGTACCCCATATATTCAACTTTTGTCGAAATTAAACAAAGTTTAAATTTGGACCCCGAATTGGACCATCTTAAAAACTTGGCCCATAATCAAAAATCTAAATACATGTTTAGATTAAGCATATCAAAAAACCCCAAGAATTCATTTTTTTGTTAAAATCAAACTAAGTTTAACTTTTGACCCTTTGGACCTTAATGTACACCAATTTGAAAACGGGACCAAAAATAAAAAATCTTAATACATGGTTAGATTCGGCATATCAAAGAACCCTTATAATTCATTTTTTAATGAAATCAAACAAAGTTTAATTTTGGACCCTTTGGACCTCAATGTGGACCAATTTAAAAACAGGGCCCAAAATCCAAAAGTGTAATACACCGTTAGATTCAGCACATCAAAGATCCCCATATATGCAATTTTTGTTGAAATCAAACAAAGTTTAATTTTGGACCCTGATTTAGATCAACTTGAAAACTGGGCCCATAATCAAAAATCTAAATACATGTGTAGATTTAGCATATCAAGAAACTCAAGAATTCAGTTTTTGTTAAAATCAAACTAAGTTTTATATTGGACCTTTTGGACCTTAATGTAGTCCAATTTGAAAACAGGAACAAAAATTAAAAATCTAAATACACGGTTAGATGCGGCATATCAAAGAACCCAAATAATTCAATTTTCAATGAAATCAAACAAAGTTTAATTTTGGACTCTTTGGACCTCAATGTGGACTAATTTAAAAACGGGGCCCAAAAATTCAAAAACTTAATACACGTTTAGATTAAGCATATCAAAGTACCCCATATATTCAATTTTTGTCGAAATTAAACAAAGTTTAATTTTGGACCCCGAATTGGACCATCTTAAAAACTTGGCCCATAATAAAAAATCTAAATACATGTTTAGATTTAGCATATCAAAAAACCCCAAGAATTCATTTTTTTGTTAAAATCAAACTAAGTTTAACTTTTGACCCTTTGGACCTTAATGTACACCAATTTGAAAACGGGACCAAAAATAAAAAATCTAAATACATGGTTAGATTCGGCATATCAAAGATCCCCATATATGCAATTTTTGTTGAAATCAAACAAAGTTTAATTTTGGACCCTGATTTAGACCAACTTGAAAACTGGGCCCATAATCAAAAATCTAAATACATGTTTAGATTCAGCATATCAAGAAACTCAAGAATTCAATTTTTGTTAAAATCAAACTAAGTTTTATATTGGACCTGTTGGACCTTAATGTAGTCCAATTTGAAAACAGGAACAAAAATTAAAAATCTAAATACACGGTTAGATGCGGCATATCAAAGAACCCAAATAATTCAATTTTCAATGAAATCAAACAAAGTTTAATTTTGGACTCTTTGGACCTCAATGTGGACTAATTTAAAAACGGGGCCCAAAAATTCAAAAACTTAATACACGTTTAGATTCAGCATATCAAAGTACCTTAATGTAGTCCAATTTGAAAACATATTGGACCTTTTGGACCTTAATGTAGTCCAATTTGAAAACATATTGGACCTTTTGGACCTTAATGTAGTCCAATTTGAAAACAGGAACAAAAATTAAAAATCTAAATACACGGTTAGATGCGGCATATCAAAGAGCCCAAATAATTCATAACCCCATATATTCAATTTTTGATGAAATCAAACAAAGTTTAATTTTGGAGTTCAATGTGGACCAATTTAAAAACGGGGTCCAAAATCCAAAAACTTAATATATGGTTAGATTCAGCATATTAAAGAACCCCAAGAATTTAAGATTAAAACGCCATTGAAATTGGTCAAGAAATTATCAATTTATACAAAGTATTAGAAAAGTATTGTTTTTGGCCCCTATTTGGCCCCTAATTCCTAAACAGTTTGGGCCATAATCCCCAAAATCAATCCCAACCTTTCTTTTTTGGTATGGAACATTGTGGTACAATTTCAGTAAGATCCATACACTTACACACAAGTTATTGTCTGGAAACTAGAAAAATGCTTTTTGGACCCCTTTTTAGACCCTTAATTCCTAATCTGTTGGGACCATAACCCCCAAAATCAACCCCAACTTTCCTCTTGTGGTTTCAAACCTTGTATTTAAATTTCATAGAGATCCATTTACTTAAACTAAAGTTATTGTCCGGAAAGAATGTGTCTTCGGACGACGACGACAACATACCAATATAAGACCGCAAAAAATTTTGGCGGTCGTATATTGGTGTCACGTTGTCGTCCGCGTTCTTGTATAAAAATTAGAAGAGAAATATAGTGTTTAATTATCTAATAATCCGAGCAAGCATTAAAAGGATATATTCATTTGAAACCAATTTCATTTATTTGTTGTTTTATACAAAACTGTCAATATAAAACACCATTCTTTACACTACTTTAGACATATTTATAATTGGAAAAATATTCATTTTGAATTTTCTTGTTAAAAACAATTAACAAATACTTACTGTGAGGTACGCATTTGTTTATCTACTATTCAACATCAGGCATAGGTGTTCTTCATACATGTTAAATCAAAATTCACATTTATGGTACAATGTATCTATGGAGAAATCTGAAAAGGAAAAACAAATATTATTTTTTACAAATAACACAAGAAAAATTATGAAACAGTTTTGAAAAACAAAAATTTTACAACAGGGGTAGGGAAAATGTAAGAGTGCAAAAGTAATGAACTAAGAAATAAATAAATGTTGTAATTGACATAAGAAAGTACATGATGTTACTTACTATCTATGTAATTTATATAAATAAGCGGTTTTGATCTCTATATAAGAAAAAATTTCTAACAATTTGCGTTTATTTACAGGATATATATTTTCAAATTTTTTATTATGAATACAGCATGTTTAATATTTAATAACAATGATGCTGATGAACTTGTGCATGGTGTTTTATTTTCAGTAGCAAATATAACATGCTTATTAGGAATGTGAATATTTTGATGAAGCATGAAGTGTAAACAGTGGCTTCTTTGTACTTTAAAGATGTACACTTTTGTAAAGTTTACTTTTTTAGCATAGGCACTCAGGGATGGGGAGAGGGTTCTGAGCCACCCCCACCCCCCCTTATTTTTTACTGCCAGATCAGCTCTTATTTTTGAGGTGATTTCTCTTGGCACCAATTTTCTGCAAAGTCCTGGACAGGGTACATGTATTAGGTTACAGGACTCCTATATTTTTAAAGGGGTGGGGTTGGAGGGGGGGTCAAGAGGGGTTGCAATTCCATATTAACTATCTTTAAAAAATATGGAAAAAACAAATATTTTCTAACTTTTGCTTTATATACATTTTGTTGTACTAGCTGGGTTTTTTTATTATTAAAAAGGTTAAAGTTTCTTATCACTTCAATAAAGGTCTGACTAAGATATCCTGTTTGAAATCTTCAACAACAGACTCAACACCATCAAATGATGACCCCACTGCCTCTGTCCACATAATGTATACATAATAGGTGCTTTAGATTGCTATGATGTGTAACATGTACTTTTGCAAGTTTTAGTATAGTCTTAAACTCATCAAAAATTAGCAAATACTTACTGTTACAATTCATCTTTAATTCATTTCTTAGTTCATTCCATGGCTTATTTGTTGTACATGGCATATTAATACATATTCAAAACTTTTTGGAGGCAATCTACAAAATAAATTAAATAAAATATTGATGAAAATCAAGTGCAGCAAGGGATTTATTTATTGAAATAATCTTGAATGACTTTAACATTTGAATATTACCTACATGGTGAAGGAAACCAATGAAAGAAAGTGAACCTAAATAAAAGAAACTTGTTTTTTTCATATCTAAGAACCACACATGTTAAACTAATTTGTATTTGGATATAGTATCAAACTGAACAAAAATTTGGAATAGCAAATACTTACGGTTACAATTCATCTTTAATTCATTTCATGGCTTATTTGTTGTACATGGCATATAAATTCACATTCAAAACTTTTTGGAGACAATCTACACAATAAATTAAATATTTATGAAAATCAAAAACAGCAAGGGATTTATTTATTAAAATAATCTTGAATATTTCAAACAGGGTTAAGGAAACCAATGAAAGGAAGTGAACCTAAATAAAAGGAAACTTGCTTTTTAACATATCTAAAAACCACACGTTTAACTAATTCATTTTCACCCAACTATCGAATTTTTGGTTTTTAGTCACTTCAGATTTTTTAATTGGGAGGCCAACTCCCAACCATTTTGATTTGAGAAACATTGGTAAGTATTTTTATTTGCAACATTCTGGGAACAATTTGTCAACCTGAATGATCTTTGATGATCTGAATGATCTTTGATGATTTTTTTTTTCAATTTTATTTATTAGATTCAGTTTACCTAGCATTCTTCTATGTATGTTCACGGGGGGGGTCTCAACATGGGATTTTGGGTACAGTTGTGCAGCTGGGATTTAAAAACCCCCCCCCCATTCATATATTGAATAATTGTGAAATCCCTACCTATACATATATTTCACAGCGAAATCATAACCCATTCATATCTCTATCAATAACAAAACTTGTGTCAATAAGTTTCAGCAGATGTGGAAATTTTAATGACAAAGAGTTGAACTTTGAGAAAATCAGTGAAGATCGTTGCACAACAAACTGAAAAATTATGACCCATTTATATATCACAATTACTACCTATTGATATATTTCCTCGGTAAAATTGCACCCCATTGATATATTTGACGTATCAAAAAAGGGACCCATTCCTGCGGCACATATGTATAGACCTTCATATAGGAAGAGACCCCCCCCCCCCCCGTGTGTATGTTGCATCATGTGCATTTTATTCATGAATGACTAGAAATTATAGCACATTTTACATTGAGATATTGTTATTTCAAGAATTCAAGCACAGTTTTGACAATTATTTGTTCTTCTGGAATTTTTTCCCAACAATACAATGCTCCAAATTAGGCGAACTAAGAATTTTTAATGGGTATATAGTCATACATCTACCTTCTTCCAAGTCAATAGGTTTATAATATTAACATAATTTGTTATTTGTTATTGCAACATTTTATTTAATTTGTATTTTTTTCTTTTTATCTTCTGATATATATTTAATAATACCCTATGAAATGATTTATGGTTGTGTTAATTTATCTTTAACAAATACTTGAAAGGAGAATTTTATAAAAATTACTTTTATACTGATCGCGAGGGGAGATAATCATTTTTAGAATTCCGTACAAAAATACAAATTGTTTTTTTTTAAACCCAATGATTGACCATCTGGATGTCCAATTGCATTAACCACATCTATATTCGGAAAATAATTGATCTGAAAGGGAAATATATTTTTGCTTTCAAATAGAGAATTGTGACAAGTATGACGTCTGCTCTGAGCATGAACGGCGGTGACCCCGTGTTTTTGTGAATTTAGACTTTTTTGGTTTGGAAGTATTTATGGAACCTATACATTATCTCACGTAATTTTTATAATATATATATATCAGTTTTTTTTCAAACAAACAAATATCACATTTATCACTCTATCATAATTTAAGCTTTGAAATAGAGAGCTAACAGTAACATATGACGTCTGCTCTTTTTCGTGAATTTATTTTATGATTTCTTTTGTTTCTTCTTGTACTATTTAAGGAACCCGTGCACTATCCCACATGAGATTTATGATATATCTCTGTTTTTGCATGAATAAGTATCACATTTACCATTCTATAATCATATATTATTACAGCAGCATTAAGTTTGTTGACTCTGATGATATCCAGCTTCCCTGGCAACTGAAACCGGAAGTTGTCAGACTGAAATAAACCGCACGCAAAAATCAACGACTGTACATGATATTTTTTAAAGATTTTGCTATGAGCGCAGTTGAGAACATCTATGAAATTTGTATATAATGTCAAAACTATATCATACATGCCATATGTAAAATATCTTACATGTTCTCACTTGCGCTCATGAGTCGGAAAAGTCCGATTTTCCGTATAGACACCCGTTTATGGTGTATTCATAGTATCATTTATAATCGATATCCTGTATAACCTTGAAAAATAAGTTTATTTCAACAAAATACAAAACTTCAATAAGGTTTTATGGTCATTTTTGCCCCAGATATTGTTATTGATTTTTTTTTGCATACAAAGGGGCCAAATACTGCACTTATCATACATCGTCCTTTGACTTGATAATGCACAAACAGACTGACATTCAAACGAGATTATTTAGCAGCTTAAAGTTCAATGAGGAAAACTGACTGGTTCCAATCATCAATGTTCGTCAAACTGACGAGATGAGACTTTACAGATATTCAACCCTTGAACATTGACATTTCAGTTACCCTTTAGATGCACTTACAAACAACATTAGATAAAAAAATCTTATCAAAGATATTAACTGTCCTATACTAAGGAGTTCTTTATAAAAATTTCGCATATTAAACACATTTTTAGTTAAAGACATTTGTTGTTTAGTGTTTGCTAATCAATAGAAGTCTTTAAATTTTTATTTTGGTTAACCATCATGTCACACAAAACTATTCACCAAATTAAATACAAAACAGAAATGATGTAAATATGCAATTTTGTTTCATATACAGTGGATCTGCAAACACTCAGCATCAAGTAGAAATTAATAAATGAAAAAATGACAAGTTCAACAACCTGTAACTTGTTGAAATATTTAGAAAATGAAATCCTGATAATGTGATAAATTAAAACAATCTGAATTTAACAAAACTTATCTAGTAAGTTCTGTTACTTAAAATTAAAACAAGCATTCATATGGTCTTTTTTCATTATTTATCGAGATACATGCATTAGAAGCTTGTTAAACTTAAATTTTGAAAGACATGTTAATTTTTACATATTTAGGGGGGAATCGTAAATTTGAAATACAACATTAAAACAACATTTAATCTTCAATGATAAACATTAGTAATTTAAATCTATGTCAACTTTGGTTGGCTGTTATTGTTAACAATGATAAATAATATTAACAGTACATGCAGAAAAAAATATTGCTAAAACCTAGCTCAAATAGAGCTGAATTATAATATATTAGCGCTCTCTAATGTAACTTTACCATCAAACGAAACTGAAGTTTTCAGCTCTGCTTTATCTCCTTCGTAACCAGAACTAGTTTCCAAATATATGTAGTAACTATTTGTGTTATTATCATAACCTCCACAGGGACCAGTATTACTTGATCCAGTACAACCCTGAAGTATTAATGATAAAAAGGATGTTTGTTGAGTAAATTCAAAGTAATAACAAACTAAAAATGTGAAATTCATCGATCTCATGGAAACAAAACTGCATATAGATTAAATCATATTGGTAAAAAACACTTCTTGGAAATTATAATGCAGACTAAAGGGAAATTTGACCGTAATCAATTGTTACATTTTAGGAAATCTTATATTTTGAAAAGCGTTATATCTGTTATTTCATCTTCGGAATTTCATAACATAAACAACGTTTCCTTGGAAAGGCTACGTATCGTAAACATAAATAGTAGCAAAATATCTGATAATGAGTGTGATGAAATAATGTCATCTCAAATTAAACTAATGTCATGTTTGGCTATATCTTCATTTTTTTCACAATGCCAGTACTATACACATGTACAATAGTATTCATATACTAGCTACAACGTATCAAGTTTTATATAAAACAGTATAAAAATATTTTAAAACTATTCAGTAGTTGTAATTTTAAAACATTTACTTTGACCTTTTACATAAATATAACATATGAAACAAAAATTTGATGCACACACTTTATTGAAAAACATTTATTGGATATATAGCAGTTTGACAAACACATTTGGATAATTGGGAAGCCTAATATTTCCTTAACAACAGAACGTGATTAAAACATGCAGCTGACTTTTACAGAGTTATCTCCCTGTAGTGTAATGTACCACCTTAACAAAGATAATGAATACTTCGGTACTGGCAATGACAATACGGATTTTGTGTCATTAAAATTTGCTGTTACAAAATTTTGGAACTTATGTAAAATTAAGGAATGTATCTCCCTTATGCAAAGCTCTGATTCCTTGCCCAGCTTTGGCTATACTTTTTTGTCCTTTTTGGTTTATAGCAATTCATGTTTTTAATAAGCTTTGAACTTTCAAATATTTTGGCGGAAAGTATTATGATATCTTATGATTTGCTAAGCTAAAAACTTACATTTCTTGTGGACCAATACACTCTACTTGTAGAAAAAGCTGTCAGGAAAGTACAGTCTGATTGGAAAGAACAATAATACTCAGATCCATGCGCACCTGTTAACAAAACTACAACGTTGAATTTATAATTCGATTCTTTTTATATGAGTTAAAAGAATATAAATTATCTAAGGCAATATTGTAAAGATTTTTTACCGACAAATCATTTCAGTTTTCAGTATCACATTACGAAATATCTGTTTCATTACGAGCAACATACAAAGAGGTTCGGTAAATAATCTTGAAGTTGCATTTTGTTGCACATCTCCAAAGTTTGTCTTGATTATCCAAAAAAATTTATGTAGTTCTATTATTTTGTTTCAGAGGAGTTGAGATGACAAACTGTTGCAGAAGTAAATTAAAGCAAACATTCTAAGTTCAAAGGGGCATAACTCCTGGATAAAAATTTAAATCATAATTTCCTGTCGATATGCACATCTACATAGTATGAATTTTTTATCTACTAGTTTTGTGAAATTCTTTGTGTGCTGGTTTCAGAGGAGTTGCGATGACAAGAACAGGACTGCCGGACTGCCGGACTGACGGACTGACAGACAAATGGACGGGCGACCAGACGAACGGACGGGTCAAGAACATTATATCCGACGTAGGGTATCAATATACATTGCCTCCTACAAGCAATTCAGAAAAAAACGTCAAAGAAAGGGAGGATATGCACAGTTATGCAAATGACATCAGTGAACAGTAATGAGTCGATGTTATCTCAATTAACATAGGCAAACAAAGAAAACGTTTGGATATAGTTTTCTGCCTGTTTCTTTTAATAGATAAGTAGCGTTGATTCTAGAAAGAAAGAAACCAAGGTTAATTGTTATGTTGGTCTTTATGGATAATTGCCTAAATCCATATCATACCAAATCTTCTTTTTTCTATTGATGAAAGTGTCTGATATCACAGCAATAATTAATAATTCGTGAACTTTACATCAAATGGAAGTCCTAGATAATCCATAGTTACACACACCTATTTTACATCTAACACCAACATCATAATCATGATCGCCAGGACCATTCAAAGACCTGGAACAATCTTCCAACCTTGAGTTTACACTATAACAGTATAAGTAAGTATACCATACTGGCACATTACTGTCAGCTTTTCCAAAGTATCCATAGTTAAATGGCATGGCACCGTCTCCACTGTAAACAAAGAAATTTCTGCAATCTGCTTAAAATTTAATTTAGTGCTGGAATAGTATATATTCAGGTTTTTTTTAAAATGTAATACTCTACCAAACCACAATTAATCTTTAACCCTAAAGAAACGTATGCGTTTTAATAAAACATGTTGGTGTATATTTATTAATGCAATAATGTGTCTTTAGTGATGTTCAATGCCAAAATCCCAATACAAACGTTAAAGAGCATGCAGACCCCAAAACAATGAAATGGTAAATTAAAACAAATAGATAAAATTAATTATTTCGTATTGGTGGTCTTGCTTCAATTACGGTAGGTTGTGGATTCCATTAACAGTCAATGCAAAGCCTTTTTGATTTGGATTGTCTGCATCTCAAAAAGGTAAGCAAGATTGAAGACTTCCACCAAACAAAAATGTTGCCAAGCAGGTAACAAGTCTTGCTATTGGATGTCACTTTGCGAGTTAGCCATAAAAATACCCGGCTCGGGCTTGTGCAAGGCATGTCTTTATCGTCCTGAATGTGCATTTACAAATAGTTTCTCGCAGAAATAAAATGCTTGAATTGCTATTTTTTACACTGTCGTATAAATTGATGTAAAAAAAAAAAAATCATGTGACAACATCATCCCTTATGTATACCAAGTACGTGCCAATTTCATATCTATAGCCAAAATTTTAACATGATATCAGTCTCAACATGAGTAACATTTAAACACCATTCGTTTGTCCTAACAGTTCTTAACACGCGTCGGCTTGATATATTTGATTTAACCTTCCAAATGCTGTGTTCGAGCGAAACTGATAAATCTTCACAACTATTTATTGATAAAGTTTAAACATCACACCTGTATCCTAAAGTTTGACATATGACACCAGCCTCTCTATATGTAAAACTAGATGTTGATATTGTTCCCCAAAGTCCATTTAGTTTTATTTCTACTCGTCCTTCTAGGCAGCTAGAACCATTTACAAGTCGGATTTCTGTAAATCAAGAAAACCGATATATGTTACCTTATTTTACTACTTTTTGTGAAAATATTATCTATCTCAGTCTGTTAATTTTTAAATCTGAAAATTATATGACTGCACTTAGCCTACGATTGCAAAAAATCAAGCAAGATAACATTAGAAGTTGTAGGTTTATACTCTGAACCATTCAATAAAATATACTTGTTTCCTTTTCAATGTTTGGTCGGGCTCACACCTAAAATAAATCTTTCAAGAAACTCATGTTAGGCGTACGGATCACATACTTCGTTTTATTTCTTTCAAACTAACTGTTTCCTTAGTTTGTAATATATATATTTTCATTGCTGTGCGGAATGAATGTTCAATATACTACATTAAATATAAATATATCAAAATTTATAATTAACAAAGACTTCATTTTACATCAAATAATCCAAATTCGTTAAAGTAATATCACTTGCACTCTCATGCCTTTTGGCGGTCTTCATGCGACGGTTAATGATCGTTATGTTTAATGTTCCGAATAGCAGTGTCGTCATGGACATTGCTAAATTGTCGCCTTGGGATATTTTTAAGAACTTTAATTATTTGATGTGAAAAGTAGTATATGAATTTTGAGATATACATTATGTGCACTGCATTAATTCACTTTTTATATATTGGTCTAATAGTTAAACCAAACAATTTCATGATAGTAATTTACACCTTCAAAATCGTCTGCACACACGATTTTATTTTTACGATTTTACTATGATGACTATACTATTCTTGTTTTCTACAAACGGTAAGGATAAATTTTTTAACAAGCAATTAAATACAACCGTTTCAGTTCCCTAAAGTCAAGTTCATATATTTGTAAAATGAGCACACTTAGTGATATTTGTTTGTTTGTTACCTACCAATTTTACTGGATGTTGATGGAGCTGTGCTTCCTTGTATGAAATCTGTTGTGATAGTACTACTGGATACTGTGTTTGGCGTACTTGTCAATAATGTATCTGACGAATAAATTAATGTTTTATAAAAGAACGAGTTCCAATGTCCCCCGCGTTGCACATATTTTATCTATTCAAGGTACAAGGACAATAACTAAATAAAACACTTTTTTTGTAGCGCTAACGAGACCATTTTCCATAAATTTAATATTTCCAAGGGGCATTACTCTTTTTAAAAAAATCAATCGTCCACCATTATAGAACTTGTCTGAGATATTGGTGATAATAACCTATACGATAAGTTTTATAAAAATCTGGCAAGAATTGTTCGCGTGAGAGCGCTTACGAGGCCATTTTCCATAAATTTAATACTTCCAAGGGGCCTTACTCTTTTTTAAAAAAAGTCGATAGGCCACCATTATAGAACTTTTCCGAGATATTGCTGATATTAACCTATAGTAACAGTTTTGTAAAAATCTGGCAAGAATTGTATCTGTGAGAGCGCTAACAAGACGGACGAACACACGGACGGACGGACACACGGACAGACGCACGGTATTTCCATGTCCCCAACAACACGTTACGCGGGGAACAAAAAGAATTCAGTGTTTCTAATTGTTGTCTTTATCATATATGCTCATAGGGTAGGAGACAATGCGACTCAGCGATCTTCACAATTGACCTTAAACAATTTAGTAAACGTCTACCAATACAAGTTTGATGCAACCCGAAAAGACAGTTATGACGAATGATTACGCATATATTTAGAACGGATATTGATGTGGGGCTTTCTACATGAAATAAAAAGTTGATGTTTTATATCTTCAACCACCTCTGTCATATTTTCGACTTGGATGCCTTAAGATCTTTTTAGTTCATGCTGTTCACTCAGTTTTTGTTTGAAACCTTAATTTTAAATTCGATTAATCACTGTTGCCTTTTTTTAAACGTCAGAGCATTGACACTGGAACAAGGGAACATGCCCTACGTTTAACATTTTTTTTTAATTTAATTCAAATTTATCCCTCAACAAATGGTCCCCATTGTAGATTTTTATATTGATTGAACTCATCCAAGGTTTTGATGAATAGGAATTTTCATCTCAATATAATAATGATCAGCCCAAAAATGATGGCAACAAAAATTGTTTGGAAATAATTCTACAAGTTTCTTTCTACCTAATTGGTTCCCCGTTCATATTTCTCTGATTACCGAGCGCGACCAAGATTTGAAGAAAGCAAACTATACAAATGTAAAGTATGTATAAAAAAGGAAGGCATTGTCTCAATTTCAAGACTCGATAAAGAAATTTCCTTTTAGTCACTTTCCGTAAAAAAAAATGACTCCTCATTTAATTCATCGTCTTGATCAGTTGAAATCTTCATTAACAGTCTAGGAGAATTCGACTAAACATGAAGGCGCCATCATGACGACAGCAAAATGATGAGAAACATTATATGATTACAATTTTGTTGCGTAGGGTACATGTATGAAACAAGTAAGGTTGCAATTCCCCAATGGCTGCTGTAGCCCAATTTTTGACATTTCTTACCTATTATGTCTGTTTGTTTTTTCTCACACATTGTTGTCAATACAGTGGAATTTTATGCCACTGTTATAAAAGTGAAAGGTTTAGCTAGCTATAAAACCAGATTTAATCCACCATTATCTACATAAGGAAATGCATATACCAAGTCAGGAATATGACAGTTATTTTTCATTCGTTTGATGTGTTTGAGCTTTAGATTTTGCCATTTGTTAAGGGACTTTCCGTTTTTGAATTTCCTTGTAGTTCAGCTTTTTTGTTATTTTACTGTTGTTAACATTGTTTCAGTAAGTTCAACTTTATGCATGAAATTTATAAAGTGTTGTTTTCATTGTTTACTTTTCATAAAAGAATTCAACTAACAGTTTTGACAATATTGTTCATCAAATCCATTGCTACAGTCCTCAATCCCATCGCAAAGATTATAAACAGAAATGCATTCCAATACGGTTGAGCATTGTATTTGGTCAACAGCACATCCTAAGATAAAAACAAATAAATCATTGGTACTATATCAAATACAGATAGAGAATTTACAACCTACAAATAAGAGAACCAATGTGAATTGTTCATTGGAAGTTCATACGACTTTTAATATATATGCATAATCAAATTCACACAGGGAAATTCACTTAACCAACACTTTTTCTGGTTATTTGGTTTCACTGTACGATACCGATGGTATATGTTTTATATTTTTACAAATACATGTGTACATGAATATGTACTAAACTGTTACAGTCACAATTCAGGATTCTTTTCATTGATTGTTACATTACTGGTTGCGACTTGATTTCTTACTTCCCGTTAGCCGTGTAAGGGTTATCATTAGTGTGGAAGGAGTTGTCTACTCTTTCAGATCACCCTTGTCTCTTGGTTAAGTTGTACTTCTAACTTTTAGTTTTCTGTTTAGTGTTTTGTATACCTCAGTTTGTCATTTCGTTTTTTTTTGCAATGTCGTTGTATGTTTTGGTTTTTTTTTCGAAAGTGATGTATAAGTTTCCCTTCGGATATTTTGCCTTTTTTTACTAAAAAAAGGGAGAGCCAATTTTTTATCCCAAAAAAATACTCTGATCAAAAATTGATACTACAGGTGCAACTTATTATGTCTATTAAAAGATTATTTGGTTAAAGTCTGACAGTTAGTGTTAAAGGTGTTAAAAAACTATAAAAAAAATGTTGCATGGAAATATGATTATGTCAAATTTTGTTCTGTAACAGCAAAACACGGTCTTAGGGTGAATTGTCATTTTTGTGGAGCAGTATGCATAAATACGTTTCCAAGCACGTTTGGAAGGTAGGGTTAAATTTGATATCTTAGTACTGACATAGTTCAACGTGATTTAAAACCTTCAAACGTTTGACATGACTTGAGGTTACCAATTCCAATGCAGGCCCTTTTGTCAGCGACAGTTCTCTGACAAAATTAACTTCGCGTGGTCTAATCTACATCACCGAAATTTAACTGGTTCTCGTCTTGGATAACATGATACTACTTTCAATTGTATGTTAAGCAATCAATATATCTTTTCTGGTATACCACTGTGGAGTGTGACTTGCCTTTGATATCTGATGTATAAACAGCTCTGAATCCGGATTTTGTAATGCTATAATCACTATAAAAATAAACAACCATGATATTGTTTGTTGATTCGACTTTTCTTTCTTCATCAAATGCACCTCTTAAAGTAAGCAGTATTGGATATGATATACTTGCTCCATCATAAACCTAAATAAAGAAAAACATATAATTTACTCAAAAGTGTATCATGTACATGTACCTGTAAATACATATATGTTTGTTAAAATGGGTCTGTATTTTATACAAATTGTGCTTCTATAATTTTCTTTTTATTCACTTTCAAAACTGATTGCTATTCTAAATAAGATATAAACTGGATGAAAAAGTGGAAATTATGTCATAATTAAGTATTTTACTATCAATCATAAATATTTTTTCTGTTACATTACTTCATATGTACTCGGAACACATGCTTTGAAGTCTATTTTGCAAATTTATACAATATGAAGGCAACTGTAGTACCACATGTTAACAAGTGTGCTACATCACTTGAACCTATATCAAAATGTTGGCGTGTTGAAATGTTATATGAATTATCTGACCAAAAATAACAGGCTTATGATTTAGTTTCAAAAACGTGGCTTTCAACTACAATGAACTCATCTGTGGTGCTCCAATCAAAGGTGAATAATTTGTATTAATCATTTAAAATCGTTAGATGTTTGCCATAACTATTCACGTCAGTTCTCTTAATAATCCATCAATGATCGTAGAGGTCATTAAGTCTTCCGGTCTGTTCGTAATGTTTTCATTTATGCATATGGACGTTTTGGTTAAATGTATTGTATCTTCACTTGTAGTCTCATTGTCTTCACCAAAATTTCAAGGTTTGTTTTACATGAAAATGACAAAGTGTGAGCTTTTTAAAGTGTTCTATACTGATAAATTTTCTTTCGATAATATTTTGAACTAACTTTGATGTAATCGCAGCAGGATTCTGTATAGAAATCTGTAAACCTTAAACTAATGATGTAACCCTCAGGACCATTAATATAATAATAACATCTTTGGTCGTTTGGGTAGTTGCCTGGATAATTTGGCGAGGTTATACTTCCTTTTGATCCAGAGTAATATCCACCACAATTTCCTGTCAAGAAGACATCCATATTTAAAACGATTGATTAATTGCTTGTTGCTTGACGTGTAATGGAAAATATTTCACAATTGTTCATGACCAATTTATTAATTTAAACAAAAGCCCTCTCTTTGAATAAAAAAATGATTTTCATCTCTGTTCCTTTGTTTCTTAAATAATTCATACATGTAATTTCTTTTGTTTAGAAAAGGAAGTAGTAACATTGCATTTTTTATCATTATCAAGAAACCAGTTCAAGGTATGCGAAGGCATTGGAAAATATTTTTATCAAGTACGTAAATTTCGTCGTGTTTATAACGTGAAAGTGAAATCACAAGAGACTTCATTGCACTCAAGTGTCATGATTATATTAACCTGTTCATTTATTAATAGCATTGACATTATTTTATAAGGCTTGAATAAGCTTACAATTTTTGCAATTTCAGGGCCAAAATAATGACTTTTATCATACCTCTTATTTAATTTAAATACGTTTCAGATAGCCGTACTCAAAATTACTTTTTATCATCATGTATGATTTGTAAATGTGAAACCAAATATTAAGTGTCACTAAATAGCGAAAAAAGTGTAACAGAATAAGTTATTCGTCTTTGGCAGTATGTGTCAAAGGGGACAAATTAGTAAGTCAAAAACATTACATTTAGCTAACATATATTTGCCATTCTCTAATTATTACACGCTTTGTCCTTTTCCTGACCTGTTGATTATTTTTATTTAATCAACGTGTGGTTCGTTTGATCTCATTTCTACATTGGTCAAAATTCGATTATGACGTCAAATTTTCTTGCTTTCCTCTGAATTTCCTATTGTGGCGTCATGAAAAAAGGCGACCATGCCTGATGACGTCACATAGAAAGAACACATCTTTTTACAGATCATTCGAAAAGAAGGATTGAGTTTGTGTGCATATCGTTTAAAAATCATTAGAGAAACAGATTCCACCACCAAATCTTGTGCAATACGATATTTATCCACTCTCGACAGCTAAATTTTAAACATTTAAAACGCTCGGCGAGCCTAGCGTTATAAATTAGAAAATTTAATTGTCTCGAGTGGACAAATATCGTATCACACTCGATACAGTGGTAGAATCTATACTTACATTACTATATAATCTATTAATAGTAACAACAACCTTTGTTTTTCTATTGACAAACCAATACAATGTCTCGCCCGTTGTTCTTTTCTTACCTTGTTGAGCTGTAGTTGTAGGTGATGATTCTGTCGACGGCGTTGAGAGGTTAGTAGTAACTAAGGATAAATCAAACTATGTGTTAAATCATTTACTTAATACATTCATATTCATTTGTTGAATGGCTTTCTTGAAACGTGTCTCCGGGCACTCTAGCTTCCTACAACAATAAACACTGACCGCCACGAAATAGCACACGAATGTTGAAAGTGGCGTTTAACACTAATCAATCAATCGATCAATCATGTGTTCATTTAAGACAGACTTCACACATGAGCTATGATTACAATGTTTGTCTTCATCAATCATACCAAACTTGGATAAAATCAAGTCTGTCTCATGTTTTGACTTTAATCTAGAAATTGACAATAATGGTCAAAATTTTACATCAAAAGAGGATGATTTTACCTTGGTCGTTTTTCATTTTTTGCCATGACGTGTCAGTAGCCATGGACTTGTGAGTTGGAATATCTCTTAAGTAATTCCGCCTCTCTTAAATATATTTCCTATTGAAAATCTCAGATTTAAGGCAACTTAGATTCAGAGGCATTGGTTGTCGTCAATTCATATACTAGTATCTTGTTATACTTATATAGAACCGGTTAAGCTATTTCAAAACAAAGCCTGTGTTCAGATTAGAAAAAAAGATCTGTTTGTTGTTTCAATTTTTACGCCAGACCTGTTTTAAACACAAACATATAGTTAATGTTTGCTAGGACTAATCTGTATATAAAATCGGGATTTTCGCTGACTATCTATGACGTATTTACATTTAATCTATTGGATGTTGGCTGTGTACGGATTGATATTTAAGTCTAAGATACATATTTTTTTATAAGGTTTTATTGGCTTTGAACTAGTTTTCAGTAATTTCGAGTAGTCCCAAATCTTTTTTTTTTTTTTTTTTGTAAGTTGTTTTATGTTATTTGTATCGGTCTGACGAGTTAATCCCTTTTCAACTGATTTTCATAGTTTGTTCCTATGTTGTGCTTTTACATCACTGTTTCGTGTAAAGAGAAGGGATGGACGCCCGGAACCTTATGTGTGTACCTTTCCCAAGTTAGGAGCACGTTATTCAGTAGTTGTCATTCGTTGCTGTATATCACATTAGTTCTGCGTTTATTATTTCGTACATAAATCAGGCCGTTAGTTTTCACGTTTGAATTTTTTACATTTGTCATTTTTGGACCCTTTATAGCTTGGTGTGCGTCATGGGTTTGCTCATTGTTGAAGGCCCGACTGTGACCTATAGTTACTTACTTCAACGTCATTCGATCTCTGGTGGAGAGTTGTCTAATTGGAAATCACACCGTTTGACGTAAACATTAAAATATAATAACCTTTTATCCTAACTTATTAATCCGTTATTGGTCGGAATAAGTAATAACTGTACTATTTGGATAAGAAGCAAACGTCTTTAAGTAGAACTTAATTCATAAAATGTTAACTCAATGTACAAAAAAGACATTAATATTGTCATGTCTGTGAAATATTTGTCGTGTTTATCCACTTACTAGAAGAATCTAAAAACATGGCATTGAATCCTCTCTTAACAACCGTCCTATCTGTGTAAAACACTATTAACATCTCAGCAGAGTAAGCTGTTACCGGATTTGGTATGGAACTTCCACAATACTTTGCTAGGCGTGGATCTGATGACGAATTGCCATCATATATCTAAAAATATATATGAACATGATATATTCTTTAATCGATATATGATTATGCATATAGAATCTCATTCAGTTTCAGAACGTATCTGTTTTGGCATATTCCGTTGCTATCCGCCTGTTGAATTATTCTAAATACAAATGTTCCCCCCCCCCTGGGTAAAGTTTGCCTTAGCTGTATTCGAAATTTTCGGGTTTTATACTCTACAACTTCGTTTTTTATTTGGCTTCAATATAGGAAGCCATAATTTGCCTGTTGTTCAGATCAGCAGTACCAATTTTTGTACAACTACTCTTTCGGAAACCAATGCGCTCTAATAATCAATCAAAGGCATGTTTAATTTTTCCATCACCAGCCGGTATCAGGTATAGTTTTGAAATAAAAGTGACTGTCACTTTTAAATTATTAAAACGTACGAAACAATAGGAATGAATGGTTAAAATTGCTGAATTTAATATAGAAAGCAATAGTGCTGTGATTTAATGGTTTTATTCCCAAAGAATGCCGTTCTATATATGATGTACGCCCAGAAATACAAGTTGTTAATAAACTGTTGTGTGCTCTTTGGTCGGGTTGTTGTCTCTTTGACATATTCCCCATTTCCATTCTCAATTTTATACAAGTTGAGGATGTTTTCCTCAAACCAACGGCGGTGTTGATCACAAATATGATTGTGAAAAAATACCAGCAACCCTACAACAGAGGCTAAATAAGATAATAATATGGATATCTTCAAATGATCTTAAACATTCATGATTTTTAACTAAGAAAGTGTTAGCCGTTCAATCGAGTATTTACCTGACCCTTTCAGCTCTTTTTCTTTTAGCGATCCTGGCGATAATGCAACCAGCATTGTGCATTGTACAGTACACCTGTACATTTAGTATATTGTTTTGAGTATCTAAACGAAGTACTTTCCCAAAACAACAACAATATTAAATTATACAGACAAAAAAAGACATGAATTCCAAAACTGTAAATTTGGATAATTTTGAAATATCGGACAGTTTTTTAACAGGAAATTGTAGAATGTGTATCACGAATATTTAATTTGATGTCCTTATTGCAATGATCTCAATATTTGTATGTGTTCTGTTAGAGTCATTTTGTTGGGATATTTTGCAAGGACAAACTGGAAGCTCTCAAGAGCATGTGTCGCTCACCTAGGTCTATGTGCATCTTCAATATTGGACACTGTCCAACATTGTTAACTAGAACATAATTCATGACTAAAATGTCTTTTTTGTTGATCTTGTATTGCTGATGTGTTTTTTTTTTTCTGTTTACCGTTTCCCTCAATCTTCTATAGTGTTTGTTCAAAACACAAATAAGGGTAATACTCATCATTAAAATTCAATATCTCTTATAAGAAGACAACTGACAATTTCATCGATGCTGAAGTTTTGCAGATTTTGTCTTGCTGATCATTTTTGCGTTTTAAAATTTCTATATATCTATTATAATCATTAAGATAATAGGCAAAAACACCAAAACAATTGATGAAAAAATTTCATTTAAAGGCACTAGCTCCTATAAAGAGTTGACCAACGATTTCAATAATATCGACTTATTTGTGGATATTTCTTTTTGGTTCATTTTTGCTTAAAAGTTTTGAGTTAAAGTTTCTCTCTATGCATTATAGTTCAAATTAATAGGCAATAACACAAAATATTAGCCCTATGAGCCAAGTGTGTTGAAAATAGCATCATAATTTACACTAGACGTCCAACCAATTTTTTACAAAAACTGGTGACCACAATATATAATGAACTTTTCATGCAATTTTTGTAAGCTTTTTTACTTTCCCACATGCACACCAAATCACACATGTTAATTGAATTCTTAAACAACTTACTTCGACATAATCATAACAGGATCCACTACTCATAGCCTCGACTTCAAAATCAATGAACGACAAAGTTATTGGCATCATCAATGGACTCTGTATCCAATAGTTACATATGATTGAATTCGGATAGTTTGCTGGATAATTAGGGGATTGTATCCATCCATTCGATGCATTATGGTTTTCATAACATGATATCTCTTAAATTCAAATAAAAAGAAATTATGTAAATAAATTGAGAAATTATAGTTGGTAATTGTAATGAAAGACCCGCAAAGGCTAATATCAAAGTTATTTTACATTTGTTAAGGAGGCTGATATCTTTGATGTGTTTTTAGATCTCAAACCATAGCTATATGCTCATGTTTTTGTTTTTTGTTGTTGTTTTTTTGTTGTTTTTTTTTTGTCGGCATCTGTCTTCGTGTATTTCTGAAATATTTTATAATATTATCTTTTTATTTAATGCAATATCTTAGTAGTCTCGTCTGTGTTTATTTTATTCAAAACTCTTTACATTTTAACATATTTCAAAGACTCCGTTACAGTATAATGTTCTTACTTTTACTTTATAAAAATAGGAAGATGTGGTACGATTGCCAATGAGACAACTATTCACCAGAGACGAAATGACGTAAAAGTAGGCAATTGAAGGTCACCGTACGGCCTTCAACAATAGACAAAACACATACCACATAGCAAGTTATGAAAGGTCCCGACATGACAAAATGTTATTTTGTTTTTGTTTTTGTTTTTGTGTCGTTCTGTTGCTGTCTCGTTTATTTATGCCCCACATCTCCTTAAATACATATTGAAATATGTAAATTTTTTTCCAAGCATAGACAATACGATATTTAGGATTGATAGACAACGGAGCTTCAGGTTTGCCTCCATTCATACCCATTATTCATTATCCTGTATGTGAAGTTTTAACATAAGTGTGAGTATTGATCTATTATATATATACCAAGTGGCTGCGACGTAGAAGATGTATTTCCTGTAACATGCGTTGTAGATTCAACATCTTCTGGGGTTGTTATATCTGGTGGCGAACCTAAATCTAAAAAAATAATTATATACATGTAAACTTTGTAGTTTTGTCTTTTGTTTGATCAAACTCGCATTTAAATTGGAAAAACAATAATTCCTTGAAAAAATCTTTATTCGAAGATTGAAAGATGACTGTATGATTTATGATTGCTTAACTTCCAGTTACAAATAAATCAAGCGTATTGATAAATGATTCATTCAATAATATAGGTTGACCAAGACTGGGGGCGATAGAAGTAGAAGATATATTTGATAGAGACATAATTTGCATTGTAAACCTAGAAAGCCCCAACGAGTTGTTCAAATTGTTCCCTAACGTACAAAGAGCTTCCCAAGAGGCATCGGATTTTACGTCTCCGTTGTGATTTGACGTGAATGCGTATTTATACATCCCGAACAGACAAACGTTCCTCAAGTCGTACTATCAGTACATGATTGTATTGTTTGTCTTTGACATCATACTAACCTCTGACATGTAAGTCAATTTGATTAACACCAACCGAAACTGACACTACATTCTTGACCATACTACTATCAATCATCACAGTTGAACCATCTTGCATTATAGCATAACGAGCTTTTAATATTAACTCAAATGTCACCATAACATTACCATCAAATTCACTGGAATAAAGTTAGAAATATATTTACTAATTTAAGTAAAAGAGTAACAGATAGAAAAGAATACTCAGTTCGCAATACGTTCTGACAAACTTGCAATTAAACCATTAAATCATTAGATTACAGTTTATTTTTACATAAATTTTGTGAATAGAATCATAAAATAGCTGCACATACCTTTGTCATTAGTGAATTGTATTAATTGTTTTCTTATGAAGTAATAACATTCTCAGATCAGATATTATCCTGGCATTCAAATATATCGTTTGTAAAAGCAAGAACTTGTATTTACCTGACATTCCGCAAGACCATTCTTTTATAAATCTGTGAAACAGGCATGGAACGTGACATACTTGTTGTATTGTCCATTGACGACATATAATTTTGTATTTCTATATCCATCTACGAAAAGGAAAATAATCTGTTTAAATAGTCATATGATAATTAGATATTTTGTTCAAGTTACACAACGAAAAAAACCTTTATGATACACAAAAGTATCTAGAAGATGTATGTCCAAAACTTTTAAAACTTCAACAAGGAAATGCTTAATTTGATTTGACGCCCACATAAAAGTTTCAGTTCTCCTTTAATGGTAGCGAACAATACATTTTGGGGCTTTGGTGTTGAGGGCAGATATTTGATAATGCTTCCTTTATTCCTTACTTTTGAGGAGTATTGTATGTCTATGGTTGTAGACCGTATATTGATCTCTATTTTCTTTTGAGTTTCGTTGTTGTCTCAATGACATACCCTACATTTATCTGATATGCCATTTTAATACAATGTTTTATGCTGTTTTTGATGATTTTTTTTTTTTCGTAATTTCATGGAAATATATTTCATGGTATAGAATAGCTCTCTCGGGCATATTCTTTTTAAAAATAATTATCAATGTAGTGAATGTAAGAAAACAAAGTTCATGTTTAAAGTTATAGGACGATACAAAGATAAACATTAATGGACCACTAGTCAGACACGGAAAAAAACAGAACATACAGAAAAAGAAAAAAAGATAAAAAAAAAAAAAAAGACTAGCACAAAACACTTTACAAAAAACGAATGACCAACAATGTTTGTGTTTAATCACAAAGAGAAAATCACAAAATCATTATGATCATCAAGAAAATAAAATAATAAACTTAGATATAAAAAAACGGCACAACAAAACATTTTCGACATATGTTATCAAACCATTTTTTTTCTCGTGAGATTAAACTGGATCGGATGAATAGAGTTAGAATAAATAAATAAACATGCTTTCGTTCATCTTATAACTATGCAGAGGAATGTTTATATATAAACATAATGTTACCTGATTAATAGAATACAGTAACTGTTGATACTCTTGTGAGCTTATGTTAGAGTAGGCAGTTACCCAGGTCATATTTCTCATGACTGCCTGTACTTCAAACACAATCTGTGATTCTATGATTGGAAATGTTGTAAACTCATGATAAGAAGGGGTAGTTGAGTTTGTAGTATCGGATGTTGTAGTAGTTACAGGTTGCATGGTAGTGGATGGAGAGGATGTATCCATTGGTAAAGCAGTCCTTTGAGTAGTAGATGTTGAACTTATTTTTGGTGTGGTAGAACTAGTTTGGGTAGTTGTAGTTAGAAATGTTGATGTCATTTGGGCAAAAGTTGGTGCTGAAGTTACTGATGGCGAAGTAATAGTTACTGTTGGTATCGAAGTTATTTTTGGTTTAGACACAGAAACATTTGTTGATTTTGGCGAAGAAATAGTTGTTGCCTGCTTACCGATAGTAATATTATTCGAAGTGGTAGTTGACGTTGTTGCTGGTAAAATAGTTGATGTTTGTGAGGTAGAATTTACCAATGTAGTTACTGTTGTTTCAGTAGTAAGTAGTGGAGAAGTTGTAGATTGTGTAGTAGTAGTTGTTATCGGTGTAGTAATAGTCATTGTCGAAGTAGTAGTTGTTGTCGGTGTAGTTGTTGTTGTTGTTGTCGGTGTAGTAGTTGTTGTCGGTGTAGTTGTTTTTGTCGGAGGAGTAGTAGTTGTTGGTGTAGTTGCTGTTGTTGTCGGTGTAGTAGTTGTTATTGGTTGCTGTGTAGTAGTCGGTGAAGTAGTTGTTGTTGGATGCTGTGTATTAGTTGTCGGTGTAGTAGTTTCTGATGGTGTAGTAGTTGTTGTCGGTGTAGTTGTTGTTGGTGTAGTAGTTGTTGGTGTAGTAGTTCTTGTCGGTGTTGGAGTTGTTGTCGGTGTTGTGGTTGTAGTAGTTGTTGTCGCTGTAGCAGTTGCCGGTGTTGTAGTTTTTGTCGATGTAGTAGTTGTTGGTGTAGTATATGTCGGTGTTGTAGTAGTAGTTGTTGTTGGTGTATTTGTTGTCGGTGTTGTCGTTGTTGTAGTTGTCGGTGTAGTAGTTGTTGTCGGTGTTGTAGTTGTAGTCGGTGTTGTAGGTGTAGTAGTTGTTGTCGCTGTAGCAGTTGTCGGTGTTGTAGTTGTTGTCGATGTAGTAGTTGTTGGTGAAGTATTTGTCGGTGTTGTAGTTGTTGTTGTAGTAGTTGTTGTTGGTGTATTTGTTGTCGGTGTTGTCGTTGTTGTAATTGTTGGTGTAGTAGTTGTTGTCGATGTAGTAGTTGTTGGTGTTGTAGTTATTGTCGGTGTAGTAGTTGTTTTCGGTGTAGTAGTTGTCGGTGTTGTAGTTGTTGTTGGTGTAGCAGTTGTTGGTATTTCATTTGTTGTCGGTAGAGTAGTAGATGTTGTAAATGTAGTAGTAATTGTTGTTGATGGCTGTGTAGTAGAAGTAGGCGTTTTTGACTCAGTTGTTGTTGGTGGAATAGTGAAAAATTTTCTTGTTGTTGTTGTTCTACTTGTGATTATTGCCATAGTGGTAGTTGGCGTCGTGGTAGATGCTAATTTAGTAGTAGAGGTTTCCATATTTGTTGCCTCAGTTGATTTGCTTGCTGTTGTCACTGTTGTCGATTCTGATACTGTAGGAGTTATATCTGAAAAAAGTAAACATTTGAAGCTAAAAAAATGGGAATCTGAAAGCGTTTGCTTGAATATCAAAAGGTGAGTTTAAAATGTTCTTTTTGTGCGTTTTATTAAAAAAATATCATTTTCGTCGAAGTATCGTGTAACATGCTACATTTAAGAACTGTTATTATTACGAGTTTATCTGAAACAAAATAAATGCATCTTATCAATAGAATTCGACTTTTTTCAAAAGAAGAATTCCAAAGGTCGAGTAATTTAATTCGGTATTCGGATTATGTCGTAACTACAATACCCTCCCTTTTCACGAATGTGACTTACCGAATTAGACTATTTACCGGATTTGTAATAACATAAGTAACACGACGGGTGCCACATGTGGAGCAGGATCTGCTTACCCTTCCGGGGCACCTGAGATCACCCCCAGTTTTTGGTGGGGTTCGTGTTGCTTAGTCTTTGGTTTTCTATGTTGTGTCATCTGTACTATTATTTGTCTGTTTGTCTTTTTTTTTTTACCATGGCGTTGTCAGTTTGTTTTCGATCTATGAGTTTGACTGTCCCTCTGGTATCTTTCGTCCCTCTTTTAATTCGAAAATGCAAATTTAAGTACCGGATTTAAATCCACTGAATTCAGCAACACAAATATATGTGTTCAAGTGGAAGGCTGAAATGGATACAAAAAACGACAAAACATATATTATATAATTTGATATTTTAGATGTAAAGATTATCGTAAGACGAATTAGTATTAAATTACACTTTTATTTCAAAACTATGAATTAAACTACGCAGTTACGAAATTTTGAAAGATTATCTTCTGTGGCCATCCTAACAATTTACACGAAGTATCGGATTTAACTTCCTCATTCCAATCATTGCGGGTGCGTTTTTATGAATACATCTGGCACATCATTGTTAAATTAAGTGAATACAATTGAATGAAAGAGGATACAATAATACACTTCTGTTCTCAAAGATAACAGTAATAAGAGCTTTAAAAACTCATCAAAGCTACTAACTAGTCTTATATATTTAAAACCGTTCCATTGTAGTAATATTTCAAAGGAATAATTAATGGAGTGTCGGTTCGTGTAACACTTATTAATTAAAAATTTTAAAAAGTTTTCAAATTTTAGAGTTTTGTATTTTTAATGAAAGTTTTAAAATATCAAAATTCCAAATTTTAATTTTTTTTTTAAATTTTGAAAATTTTACCAAGTAATTAAAATTTTAAAATTATAAACTTCATTTAAAGTTAAATAGTTTAGATATTTAAGCAAACTTTGATTATGCTTTATTGAACGTTCAGTTTTGATAATTTCAAGTTTTGAAAGTTTGAATGTTTTGATTTTGAATAAACATATACTATTAATAACCACATTTAGAGCAGTAATCACAAAATTGACAAATAATTTCTGCTTGTTGTTTATTTATTTAGAGAATCAAAGTGTGTCAAAATCAGGTCTAACTTATTAATTTTTCGACTTAAAGAATCATATTTCTCATTTTCATCCTGTAGATCAAGCAAGTTAGACTCTTGTTTTATAAAAAATATTGTTTTCGTTTTGATTTAGTTTTGTAATGTATTTCGTTTCGTTGTGTTCTTATTAAAAATTTTGAATTTTGATATTTTAAATCTTTGATCAAAAATTAATAAAAAAAGCTTTTTTATATTGATATTATTCCATGGCTTTGTTCTGCAATTCACAGTAGTTGCGTGATCATCACTTTTCAAAGAATTCTGCTCACGACGTAGGTGTCGTCTAAACTTGAGTTAAAAACATCACTGTTACTTTGAGATGAAGAACAGCAAAACAAGTGCTTTTCCTTTGCTTTCTGTGTCATTGCTGTGCATGTATGGTTTTTGTTGGCGGATCTAGGGAGGTATTCCGTGGGTCAGAACCCCCCTTTTTCCACATTTTTTGATTATGCGAACGTTTCATGTGAATGACTGGATTTTGCTCCATGGATGGTTATCCTTCTTTTCTTTTGAATGAAACATTGACTCTGTTGCAAATTTATAAGATTAAAAGAAATGTCCAGTATAACAACTTCACACTCGTCTCGTAACATTGTATTGTCAGAAATGTTAAACTTAGAAATCCTCGTATCAACAACGTTCTTAGTGTGGTGATTTTTGCGAAAAATCTATTTGGAATGAGGACAAATTATCTTCACTTATGAATCTAGCCACAAAATATAAACAGAATTTTACACTTTAAACTGAATATACGTATCAAATTGTATTGAAAATGTGGTTAGTTGCATAACTGACGAATAAATGTCGACGAGGGTGGTTTTTAACGACCTTGACTACCCATGGTAGATGATAAATGTCAAATGAACTGAACACAATGTAATTCCGTCAATAAACTTGAAAGATCTTCTTTCCTCGCCAGGTCTAATTTGTAGTCATTTGATTAAAGTAAATTATGAAAATGCATGAAATGTTTGCCTTTTTACAATCTGGAAGCATCAATAATTTATTGTAATACGAGTATTGATATAAGGAGATATCGGGTACGTCAATTGTCAATTGTATAACAAAACTTCAAACATTAAACGCCTACACATCCCTATCCCCCCCCCCCTCCCCCACCCCCCCCCCCCCCCCCCACAAACCACCACCACTACCACCACCGCCACCATAAATAAACATCCGGTATTCCACATGAACCCCGTGTCTCTACAATATTTCAAGCTCTCAAACGCCTCGGGTCGGAAAGAGTCGTCAATAAATTGAACAGAGAAATTGAAATGATGTTTACCTGAAAATGCTATTTTCTGTGTGTCTATCTCAAAGTCTTTGACCTCCTCAACAGTACCACTTTGTACTACTTGTACAAATGTAGTAGCTATCATTCCTTCGTTCATGTCTACCGTAACACTGGATTTATTCAATTTAGGATTCTTAAAGGTAAGATCAACAATGACTTCAGTGCTACCTTTCCTAAAAATAAAACGTATGCAATCAAATTCAGTAACTATTTGTTTTTATATCATATTTTTTAGCAGTACAGCATGAACATTTTTAATTGAATATCTATATTTGTGAGAGAGAAAAAAAAAGGGGGTATCTAAGTCCAGAATGTAAAGATATATCTTCTATTAAAAAATTAAAAATAGTGTTAATTTAAGAAAAATTAGTTGTTACAATGACAATACAAAAATGTTACCTGGTACAAAAATTGTTCAACAGCAAAACAATCTTAAATAACCACCAACGCTCGACTCCCCCAAAAACAAGACTCATTAAAAAGACAAAAAACACCGATCAACGCGTGCTCAAGATTTCCCGACTTGGTACCGGCACACTAGATGCAATTACACCAGTTCAACTTTGGCACATATTCTACCTTTTCCAAACTAAACCATTTATGATACGAAATTTGATAAGATTGCCAATGTCTTCAAATTAGAGTAACATACGATTAAAGTCTACTTTGTTTGGCCCTTTTTAACATATTTTGATTCGAGCGTCACTAATGAGTCTTTTGTAGACGAAACGCGCGTCTGGCGCAAATATAATATTTCAATCCTGGTATCTATGATGAGTTTATTTGTCCAGCTACCAGAAAGAGGACCACAATAACTAGAAAATGATAGACAGCACATACTTTGGAAAACAGAAATTTCGACACCGAATAACGCACCAATTTCATGTTCGTCGCTAATCACTTTAATGGTTAATGTCATCATTCTAAATAGAAAAGATCGCATAACTAACGTTGAGAATCGCATGTATGTGGATGAATGGGTTTTTTAAATATGCAATAATACTCAAAATCTTATTCCTGGCATTTAGGGAGTGTCAATCTGTCAGCACAGTGGTCACTTTTTAATGTTTCAGTAGTTGAAATTGTAATTCTTACCTCATCCAGCATACCTAATTTTTAGAGAGTTTAAACTTCAATTAACTTATAAGTTCTCGTCCTGAAATATTTTTCACGGGACGATAAGGAAAAATAATCGTAAATTCTTCCAATATGGTGTGTTGAGGGACCAAAAGGTCTAAAAGAAGTGCATATTTCACGAGCTCAGCGTATTTTGTGATAAAGACTATATTTTACTGGCATCAGCATATAATATAGATAATGGCTGATAATAGAATTAAAAATTTATCTGTTAATACTTAATTTCAAAGGTCGGACATACAACATAGAAAGCTAACAAATGTGAAATATATCTCTAATAGCACATAATGTATATATAAAAAAGAAGATGTGGTATGATTGCCAATGAGACAACTCTCCTACAAGAGACCAAATGACACAGAAATTAACAACTATAGGTCACCGTACGGCCTTCAACAATGAGCAAAGCCCATATCGCACAGTCAGCTATAAAAGGCCCCGAAATGATAATGTAAAACAATTCAAACGAGAAAACTAACGGCCTAATTTATGTAAAAAAAATGAACGAAAAACAAATATGTAACACATAAACAAACGACAACCACTGAATTACAGGCTCCTGATTTGGGACAGGCACATACATACAGAATGTGGCGGGGTTAAACATGTTAGCGGGATCCCAACCCTCCCCCTAACCTGGGACAGTGGTGTAACAGTACAACATAAGAACGAACTATAAAAATCAGTTGAAAGAGGCTTAACTCATCAGATGGATAACAATACAAAAAATACAAATACAAGTGGACGTGACCGGGTACTTGTACATCCAAACAACAAAAAGACACTAAGTACAGATCTGAGTTACTGACAGCTAGTTCAAAGCCACTAACAACTAATAAAAAAAATCATGCAGCTAAGACTAAATTATCAATCCGTAGACATCCAACATCCAATGGATTTAGTGTAAAGACGTCATAAACAGTCAGAGAAAAACATGACCTTGTGCAATGCCAAGATACAGGTATCGACAGATTGTAGATCCATGAATGTGTATATGTATATAACAATAATATTTAGTTTGCTTTTAATTTACTGGTTACAAAATCAATATTAGTACCAATAAAAACAATATTTAATGATCTAATTACAGTGTTGAATTGGTGACCTTTTAGAATAAGTTTATTTAAAGGATCGATAAGTTTACCAGGATCGTTTCTAAATTTCCGGGCACGGTAAACAATATTGCCGTAAAAATGAGGATGTGCAATCCCGTTTGAAATAAGTTTTCTACAGGTATAACCAAACTTCAAAACCAAATCTTTATATCTGTGGAAGAATTTAGTAAAGGTTTTAAGCAATTTGTGGTAACGAAATCCCTGGCTTAATAATTTACCAGTAATACATATATTACGTTCGTTAAAATCAAAAACGTCATAACAGACACGGGCATAGCGAACGAGTTGTGAAATATAAACACCGTAAGATGGTGCCAAAGGGACATCACCATCCAAAAAGGGAAAATTAACAATAGGGAACTAAAAATTGTCCCTTTTGTCGTAAATTTTAGTGTGGAGTTTCCCGTGTAAAACCGAAATATCTAAATCTAGGAAAGGACAGTTGTTTCCGTTTAAATTAGATTTATTTAAAGTAAGTTCCTTTGGGTAATTTTCGGCAGTATATTGAGAAAATTCTTGATCATTTAACGAAAAAAATATCATCAAGATAACGGTAAGTGCTGTTGAATTTATCAATTAAATGCAATTTAGACGGGTCTTTACTGAGTTTGGTCATAAACTGTGATTCATAACAGTACAAAAACAAGTATTAAAGGGGCGCAATTAGTGCCCATAGGAATACCTACAACCTGTCGATAAACTTTGCTGCCGAAACGTACATAAATATTATCAAGGAGAAAATTAACAGCTTCAATCATCTCATCACACCTCCAGTAAGTATATCTAGCATATTTACCTTTTTCATTAGAGAAGAAGGCTTTAAATGAGTTGCAGCAAATATATTTGCATTCAGATTTACCAAACGACCATTTAATTAAATAGTAAAATTTTTGTTTGATAAGATTGTGTGGAAGTGTAGTGTAAAGAGTAGAAAAATCAAAACTGTCAAAAGAATCAAAAGGACCATCAAAAACACGTAATTTATCTAAAACATCCAAAGAATTTTTTACACTCCAAAAATAGTTAATTCCACTATTTTCATATATTTTATTACAATAGTTTATGATAAGCTCTTTGATAGTAGTTAAGGAACTTGTTAAAAGCACTGAAAGATTAGTTGTAGAACACTTACTAGAGGCCGAGATGAAACGATATTTTACTGGTTTTTTGTGTAGTTTAGGTAACCAATACATAGTAGGGACCTTCAAATGTTCAGAAGAAGCCTTAAGCTGTGATGTGGTTATGATATGTTTGTTAACTATATGAATCTCTGTGGGGCGCATGGACTTGAATGTAGATGAATTTAAAATTTCAAATGGTTCATTCTAATGTTATACTTTACTTAATGTATAAATTACCTAAATCCTTGGACAATATTCCCGACGTATAAATTGTTCAAATCACTTGATTGATACACTTTGTCGATCTACAATAAAACTACAAAAATTAAATCCAATTTCAAATGATATTATAATGTTAAGATGCGTTTTACTTTTCTTGGTACAATGTATTTATATATAAATAAATATATCTATTTCGTGCACGAAAACTTATGCTATTAATTCGGAAAGCTGTTCCATTGAGAACAAAAATCAAAAAGACAAAAGTCGAAAAGAAAAGAAAAGAAAAGAAACGGAACGAACAACCAAAAAGTTAAGGCCAATTTCCGAAGAATATTCTTAGCCGAACTTTCCCTAGTCTTTGTTTGAATATTTACATAACGCAATTTAAAAAATGAGAAATTTTGGGTATTCAATTACAAAATGTTGAGAAAGATAAAGGAACTATCGTTCTGTATGTCTTTGTCCCTAATCAGGAGCCTGTAATTTCATAGTTGTCATTTGCTGATATAAATCTTTTATTGTTGATTTGTACAAAAATCAAGCCGATAGTTTTCTCGTTTGAATTGTTTTACATTTTTCATTTCTGGGCCTATTCCATGCCACATTGGTTTTGCTCAATGTTGAAGGCCGTACGGTTACCTATTGTCACTAACTTCTAATTCACTGGAGGAGATCTGTCTCATTGATATCAAACCACATCCTCTGTTGTTGTATTTTATTTAGAAATATTGAACAGTTTTAAATCCAAAACACTTAAACATTGGTTATAATTTTGTTTTCGAAAATATAATTTTGACAGTTTATTTAAAATGCTTGGATACGGTTCTACCGAATTATTGACAAAGGACAATAATAAAAAACGTAACAAATTTACCATATGTGAAACATTTTCTGCTTTTCGTTGGTATTTTTGAGACGAATTATTTGCTAATTCTTCATCCCATGTGCTGTCAATCGGTATATGTCCTTTATATATCAGTTCCTCTGGTAGAGCTATAAAAACAAAAGTTGCACAACGTCTTTTACATTTGTAATGTTAACTGCATATTTGTGTGCTTGATTATGATATATTTGCTCAGTAACTATCGTTATCGGTCATCCCACTGTCTATATCACTCTGCTCAGCTCTTAATTTTTATCAATTATGGACTATTGACGAGGTCAATACGTTAAATATGGACCTGTTCAGATTATATTGACCGAGGACGAAGTCCGAGTGTCAATATAATCTAACAGGTCTATAATATATAACTGATTGACTGAGTAAAAGTCCTTAATTTATATATTACATATGTAAAAATAATGTACAAGGAAAATGTCGTTCAATGTGTTTTCTATGTATTTTTAAATTGTATTTTGCAAGAATTTTAACATGCTATTGAAAATATCAATATTCTTTGAACAACTTCATAGCTTGTTGCATTAGCTTTCTTGTATTCTTAGCGTCTGCATTTAACATAAAAGAGGGGCGAAAGATACCAGAGGGACAGTCAAACTCATAGATCGAAAATAAACCGACAACGCCATGGCTAAAAAAGAAAAGGACAAGCAGAGAAACAACAGTACACAAGACACAACATAGTAAACTAAAGACCAAGCAACACGAACCCCACCAAAAACTGGGGGTGACATCAGGTGCTCCGGAAGGGTAAGCAGTTCCTGCTCCACATGTGGCACGCGTCGTGTTGCTCATGTTATTACAAATTCGTGTATTCTTAGCGTCTGCATTTAACATAAAATTCTTGAAATTTACTGATAAACTTGCAAATTTCCTTTCTGCTGTGGTTTTTCCTCCATGGTTGTTATGTGTGACGTCATGACGTCATAAATCTAAATTTAGCAAAATTTGTTTTTATATTGACCGTCAATATACATATAAATAGTAACATAGCGTCAATATACTTAAAAATAGAAACAAGGCTTCGGATACGTAAAATAACCTTTAAAACACGTGATCGTAATATCCAATGAAAACAGTAGAATGCTATACCATATGTAATATTATTCCATATCACGGCTTTGTGACATCAAATACGTTGACCCGGCCTTAATAACTTTGACCCGGAAATATCAGCGACGTCATAATGTTTGAACCGACGCTGATAAGTTTGACCCGAACTTATCAAGTCAACTTCCGGTTGCTGGTGAAACTAAGAAAACACTTCCAAAAGACGCAAATACAGCCCGATAAATCGATTATCAGGTTATCTGCATACTGATATTGTAAAATATCAGCTGCTCGACACAATATGAAAGCTTTTTGATCTCGTTCGCTGCGTTCACTCGACAAAAAGCTTCATATTGTGGCTCGCAGCTGAAATTTTTACAATATCAACATGCAGACAACCTGATAATCGGTACAACTCATGTATTTTTTTTAGGAATGTGATGATACATGCAAGCATAAGCAATTGCAATTGCAATAAATTTTTAATGCTTACACATCGCTACCAGTGTATGGCATGTAAAAACAATTTATATTTCAGTGATTGTATTGATACTATGATTGAGACAATTTATTTCTCTGTAAATTGTAAAATTTAAAATTGAGAATGGAAATTGGGGAATATGTCAAAGAGACAACAACCCGACCAAAGAGCAAATAACAGCCGAAGGCCACCAATGGGTCTTCAACGCAGCGAGAAAATCCCGCACCCGGAGGTGGTCCTCAGCTGGCCCGTAAATACAATTGTGTACTGTTTCAGTGGAAATGGACGACACACTTAACTCCAAAACATATACATGTAAAGGAACTAAAATTAAAAAAAACATACAAGACTAACAAAGGCCAGAGGCTCCTGACTTGGGACAGGCGCAAAATGCGGCGGGGTTAAACATGTTTTGTGAGATCTCAACCCTCCCCCTATACCTCTAGCCAATGTAAAATTTGTTTATTTTAATCTTTTTTCTTCTTTTTGCAACATGACAACACATTATCCGTTTTTCATATTTATGCTACCACTAAATAAGTTAATGCATAAACAGTAAATAGATATAAGAAGATGTGTTTTGAGTGCCAATGAGACAACAATGCATAAACAGTAGCCATTTTTTATTCTTTACTTGTTTACTTGTTTATTTTTTGTCCCATTTTTCTGTTTTCTTTATCATTTTCGTCTATTTTTTTTTCTTCTGTAAACCCAATCTCTTCTGTTGACCATGTCATTGATTCATCAACCAGTTTGTTTTTTTTTTCTTTGTCTTCATTTTCTTTTTACCATAGTGTTTGTATTATACTTCTGATATTTGATAGTCCTTTGTATCTCCCCCTTTTGTATTGTATCTCCCCCTTTTGTATTGTATCTCCCCCTTTTGTATTGTAACTATGCCTTCAATTTTTTATGTTTTTTTTTCTGTTGAAATTTTTTTTATCGTGCACTTCAGGAAGATTTTCTACATACCCTGCGTGTTTGTCGTTGTAGGTGCGGTTGTTGTAATCTCTTCATTTTCTATAAGACAAACAAAATATCTATATGATGTGATCTAGATAGATTAAAGCATCACATGGATATTTACAATCAAATAAAATTGTAAGTTCAAAGAAACAACAATTCTTACGAAGTACATGTAGGCTTGAACAAATTTCAGAAAATTTGGAAAACAAATCCTAATGTCAGACAAATAATTAGAAAAAGAATCCAGGGTCAGACAAATCGTTAGAACAAAGAACCTATGGCCAGACACATGATTACAACTGTGATAATTTTGTATCTTAGATTAGGTAGTGTATCTTAATAACAGTTCGGTAATAGCCTTATTTGATGTATTTGTATATACTTAGATAAAACATAAACAGATATTTGGCATGTCAAGTTTGAGTCAGGTCAAGTGTGAGGAGGAATTCCAAAGGAAACTCTTATACTCACTTTAAAAGAAATTCCTCCTTAATCTAGAAGCTCCCAAGAGCCTGTGTCGCTCACCTGTATCTAATGTGGTTTTGGAAATCAAGTGAAATAAGGTTAAAATCATATAGATACCCGAATAATGATTGAGGCCAAGTTTGGTTTAATTTGGCCCAGTAGTTAAATTAAAAGCAGAAAAAAATTACCAATAAATTGCAGAAAATTACTTTAATGGACAATAATAACTCCAATAAGATGTCAATTGCAAATTTTGGTCATGTTGAATTATTTGTAGATCTTTCTTTGCTTTATATTTTTGCTGTTTACAGAAAATCTCAATCTATAACGATATTAAAGTTAATCAATAAAAAATAAAACAATTCCTTTCCTCGGCTCCAAAGTTTATTTCACCCAGGGCCTGAATAATGCAGAAAACGCCTTTAAATGTACGGCATTCATCCAATATAAGTATGCTGAAAACAAAATTTAATAATTGTTTATAGACAAAGTAACACAGAATTCTGAAAATTATTAGCCCCCCCCCCCCCCTATCTTGAAGAAATTGCACCCATGGAAAAATCCCATTGTAGTCTTGCAACAGTAACTGAAGACCCCTTATCATTATTCAGATTAGTTTTCCAGTTGTGACCATTTGAAATTGTTTTTTTTTTATATTTTTCCCATAGACTTCTATAGTATTATAAAACCTCTATGTACTATTTATACCCAATGGGACCTTGAAATTACCAAATTCAGATCAGGAATCCAACAACGGTTTGTCAGATTCGTCAGATTTTCTCTAAATGCTTTAGTTTCAGAGATATAAGCCAAAAACTGCATTTTGTCATTGTGTTCTATTTTTAGCAATGGCGGCCATCTTGATTGGTGGGCGGGGTCATCGGATACAATTTGAAGCTATAAACCCTAAGGATGATTTAGGCCAAGTTTGATTTAATTAGGCCTAGTGGTTTCAGAGGAGAAGATTTTGGTAAAAGTTAATGGAGGACGACGGACGACGACGGACGACGGACGACGGACGCTAAGTGATGAGAAAAGGTCATCTGACCATATGGGTCAGGTGAGCTATTAATGGTACGGGTACCAAAGTCGTAATTGATGATGCGCAATTTGTTGCTTATTGTTGTTTGACATAAGTTTGCGAAGACTTAAGACCAAGGTAAGGTTCCATACGGATATTCGAGATCGTAGAGATAAAGAAAAGATTGGTGCCTGTTAGAACATTGTAAAGGTTGTAGCTTTACAAGGTTGTACCGTATTTAACAAGTTCAAAGATTGTAGGGTACGTTATTGTATCATAAGGACGAATGTAATTGCACAATTTTGCATCTGTTGTATATATATTTGAAGTAGAATAGTTATATAAGTTCAGTTAAAGAACATAAAGTATATATTTTAGTTCAATGATGATGGATAATTTGTTATTAGAACATTTCGGGTCCAGTATTAAACTGGAAACAGACCTTCAATATGATAGAAATATATATTAACAAACTAATCATGACAACACGTTACAGAGCAAAGTAGACAGTCAGACACCTAGTTAGAACAAAGTTCACAGGGTCAGACACATAATTAGAACAAAGTTCACAGGGTCAGACAAATAAGTAGAACAAAGTACACATGGTCAGATAAATAAGTAGAACAAAGTACACAGGGTCAGACAAATAAGTAGAACAAATTACACAGGGTCAGACAAATATTTAGAACAAAGTAAACAGGGTCAGACAAATAAGTAGAACAAAGTACACAGGGTCAGACAAATAAGTAGAACAAAGTACACATGGTCAGACAAATAAGTAGAACAAAGTACACATGGTCAGACAAATAAGTAGAACAAAGTACACAGATTCAGATAAATAAGTGGAACAAAGTACACGGGGTCAGAAAAATAAGAAGAACAAAGTACACAGGATCAGACAAATAAGTCGAACAAAGTACACATGGTCAGAAAAATAAGTAGAACAAAGTACACAGGATCAGACAAATAAGTCGAACAAAGTACACATGGTCAGACAAATAAGTGGAACAAAGTACACATGGTCAGACAAATAAGTAGAACAAAGTACACAGATTCAGAAAAATAAGTGGAACAAAGTACACAGGGTCAGACAAATAAGTAGAAAAAGCACACAGATCAGACAAATGGTTACAGAAATGTAATGGGTCGAACAGATAAAAGGCAGAGTGCATGGAATCAGACAAATACTTAAAAAAACAATTTCCATTTATAACAGCGCGAAAGTTTGTTGTTGTTGCTGAAATTCCCAAATAAGACCTTAAAATGAATTTGTTATAAATCAATCGGAAATGAAATTTAATTCATACATCAAAATTTTCGGGCACATATAGATATTGATACGTGTGTGTGCTTTTTTCACCAGGTAAAAATCTATGACTGGTAGGACTAGGTAAATTTCGTTAAATTGTGTCTTCTTTCGCAAATGCTGTATTGCAGTTGACCTTATTCATGAAAAAAATATGCAAGTATAACGAAAAATGAATTAAATGTTTGAATGAGACATGCATTATATCATTTGGTTATAATCGAATTGCATATTGTTCACTTCCTTAAGTACATAACGTATATGTAATTGTATATTTTAAAGTTCATCAGGGTTAAATATTTGTTAGATGTATTGCAATGTCAGTATTAAGACTGATATATAAGTAAATAATTGAAAATAAATTAACAAGCAAACAAACAAACAAACAAACATACAAATAAATAAATAAATAAATAAATAAATAAATAAATAAATAAATAAATAAATTAATTAATTAATTAATTAATTAAAATTAATAGATAAATGAATACATAAATGAATGAATAAATAAATAAATAAATAAATAAATAAATAAATAAAACAACGCTTTAACAATATTTCTTGTCGTTTTGTTATGCCAACTCGTGTCTTTGAGGGTGGATACTTCTATAATATTTTGCTGCCAATACAATGGGCGCTTTATATAATAAAAAAATGCCTTAATTAGATTTTTTACTTACGTAAGCTAGTGAAGTACACAGCGATTGCTATAGTTCCACCGACCAAAGTGACTATTCCTGTTACTAGGAAAAATAGTATGGCACAACGTGATCTCGGTTTGTTTGTAGAAGTTGTAGATAAACTGCTATTGAGCCGATCCTCAGAAGTTGTTTTATGAAGACCCCAAGGATACTGACTAGCTAATGACTCTTGATAAGGACCGGGAATGTTTTTGTGATTCCAAAGTGAAGGAATATTACTTTGTAAATAGTCTTTTTGTATAAAGTCCGGTCTATAAGTATCACAATCACGGCTATAATCTGGCTCTGGTTCATAGAAGCAATGGTTATCATCGACACTGAGGCCCCTGTCATGTCGGTCAGTCTATAATAATAACGAACATTAAAACAGTGCAGGTATTATAATTTTGAAAATCTTGCAGTATCATATTTAAAACGTATGGCAGCATTTCATAGTTTTTAAGGCCTGTGTCTGATAACAACCTATGTTTTAGTTTATAGTATAAAATGTTAACTTCATATTTCAAATCGAAACTACTAATTAAATTAGAGGCGACTCTTCTTTACTAATGTCCAAACTCGTAAAACCTGTGGAACTCGTCTAAAGCCAAACAGAAAGATACAAGATTTGTAGAAAGAGAATGAGTCAACGCCTAGGCATGAGAATTCAGTCTCCTAATCACGTTAATTCTGTATATTCAAAATCGGTAAAACCTGTAAATAGGGAATATGACACAACAGATAGATTTTCAAATCAGCCAATTTTGTTCTAGTGTTTTAAGAACAAACCTCGAAAAACTATAGTACTCGTGAGATGAGAAACAGACACAAAGCATATGGGTCAATAATTTGTGAAAGAGACCTGTAAGAGGTACAATCAATTTCCCTTGAATTGATATTACACAAGGGTCGTTTTCTAAATGTTCTTCAATTTTAACTAAAATTTGTTATACTAGTATCACATATCAATATACGTTCTTTAAGGTTTTCGTGTCTAATAAAATATGCTCGCTAGTTGTTGATACAATCGTGATCTTGAAACACGACTATAAAGAAAAATTTAACCTTTACAACTTCCGCGTTCTAGCTTTTGATATTCATTATTCAATTGCTATTCATAAAATGTAGTACATTAAATAGCGTGTCTTCATTCATTTTAGACATGCCCTTGTTAACGTTAAAGATTTGCCGATTATTCAGCCTTTAAATGTCGACACGTGTTATAATTTTTCTTTTCTTTTCACACAATGTTTTCCCGAATGAAAATGCATATCACAAATCCTGCAGACTATAATAGTTTTGATACAAAAAAATAACCACTTTTATTGAAAGTTTGATTTGAATTCTCAAAGAAATTTTCATTTAAATTCTTATAAAGATGTTGATTTGATTTTTTATAGAAATTTGTATTCAAATTCTTATATAAATATTGATTCGATTTTATTAAAGAGAAATTTTGGATTAGTGTTCTTACATAAATTTTAATTGACCAAAGTATTACATGAAAGTGGTGTTAAAACAACAACAAAACATCAACCAATCATTGCGGGACAATCATCAACATTAAGTTGAAGAACGACATATAAAGACTTAATAAAAAAGTGTTTTTATGGGCAAATAGAATATGTAACAGTAAAATTAAAAACTGGAATTTTAGAGTTCATAGTAAATTTAGAGAACTTAATATTGAAAATTTTTGTAATATAAACTGTACTTTTAGTAAAAATGATATTAAGAATATTGAGAGTAATGTTTTTGATATGTACAAGAGAAAATGGTGTAATGATTTAAACACAAATGATCGCAGTAAACTGCGTACCTATAGGTTATTTAAACAAGAATATAATAAAGAACATTATTTAAGTGTTCATATGCCAGGAAAATATAAAAGCGCCTTTGCCAAATTTCGATGTGGTGAGGCGCCAATTAGAATTGAAACAGGCAGATATGAAGGGGTTTTATGTGAAAATAGATTTTGTTTTAATGATTCATGTATGCAACAGAAACTCATTGAAGATGAGAAACAAGTTTTATTCAAATGCCCTTTATATTCACATGCAAGGCAAGAAGTTTGTACTAGAGCAGTTTCTTTTAATAGTGGTTTTTTAGACTTAAATGATAATGAAAAACTATATTTTTATTTACAAATGAAAATTTGTGCTTCTATTCTGCCAAAATCTGCCATGATATTTTAATTCAAAGAAAGAATGTTTTATATAGATAAAAAAAAAAAGTGTTTTTTATTTTTATCGATTTGTCCATTTTTATGTAAAAGTCTCTCATAACTCTTTTGAGAGTTGCTCTCGAATGTTTTTAAGATTGTTTTGTACTTTTAATTAAAACATGCTGTAGATATTGTATTCATGTTTGTATTGTACATGTAGAGAGGTGAGACTATAATAAAATATTTGATTTGATTTGATTTTATAATACCATGTTCAAATTAAGGATAATAAAACCACGCTTAAACCTCATTCACAGAAAAGTGTTAACTAACACACCTATAAAAACCTGGAATAACCCATACACAGGTGCTCTGAGAGTTAAACAGTTCCTTCTCCTCTAATTGCAACGGTCGAAAATTCAGAAGTAATATATTCTTTATAGAATTGCAGGACATGAAAGTCATTGTACAAAACGCGTTAGATCTATAAATAATGTCATACGCAAATACATAGCAATCCATTCTCATTTATCTTATGGCTTTTACCTGCTATCTATTTCCCTCATGAATATATATGTCGCGTATGAAACTGAACGTAGTGTAAATTGAGAAACTGTGTTCTTTCGGTTGACCGATTCCCTATGTTGTTTTACGAAATGACGACGTTTTAAGGATGTTCGCTACGCTGTTTCAAAATAACAAGCCTTTTAAAAGACCGTTATGAATTGATAGTATAGAAATAAAGGAACTAAAAATGCAGAAAAAATTAACGGGGTGTGTGCTTGTTTTCGAGATATAAGCCATTGAAAATTTGGCTGGAAATGATTCTCTCTGGACTTTTCATACATTTAACATTGGCATCCTCCTTCTTTCAAAAATTATGAAAAAATAACAAGGATTATATAGGATTTTCAAATATGGCTTTTTTAACTATATGTAATAAAATTGTGTAAAGAAAAGTAAGGGTTAGCGGGGAAATTTGTTTAATGCCAATACATAAATAAAACCGGAGGATTCCGAATATCTGGCAAAAATTCAAAAAACAAGAGGAGCGAACATCCTTAAATAGCTATTCGTTTGGTCAATGTTGAATTCCAAAGGCTACAGCGGACTTCTTTTGAACTGTGACAACGGAAATTGGTGGTTCCTTCAAAAACATGCAAAATTCTCAGACACGCGTACGTTTTGTCAATGACATTAACGATCATTAACGATAACAAATCTAATGCACCAGATGCGCATTTCGACAATCAATGTCTCTTCAGTGGCTAAATTACTAAACAATCTAATACCTTATACAAACGTTGAAGTGCCGATGAAACCAAAATAAGACTGAAAATAAAGACAAATCCGGGCAAGGAAGTAGAGCTATGCTCGATGGAAATACATTCTTGATTTTAATATACTTATCAACGAGCATTTGATGAATTTATTATTATTATTGTATTTCAAAAACGAGAGTTGTTATCACATGATATCAAATGATCACTCCTTATTAAACGTTGAAACCCTTAAGTATATTACACATGAAGGTTTCAAGAGTCACGCTCGAATCAAACAAATTAGAAGGCCAGGGAAAGTAAGGAACTTGAAGAGCATTGATAACCCATAATTCTTAGGGTACAAAATCGTTAGTATTTCTAAAAAATACAAGTTTTTTAAACAATTTTCCTATAATTATGACCATATCAATGATAATTCAAGTGAAAATGATCGTAATCTTCTGAAATTAAATACATGTAGCTATTATACAAAATAACTTGGCGTAAACAAATGAAATACACTAACTTCCTGATTATAAATATTATATTTTAAATTGACGAATTGAATTAAAATAATTTTTTTGTATAGTTCTAATAATAATATTTAAATTTCCAAAACGTCGGGGCGAATCTTAGTGTATCGAACGATTTAACATTTGATAAATGGTAAATATACAGATTTGTGTCCGTTTCAATAATATGCTACGTCAACACAGTAGGACTGACTAATTGGCTAGTGATACCCGCAGAGACAAGAAGTGTCCTAATTGTATCATTTTTACTGATTGTTAATTCATAAGACGGATGATGCATTTATAGCGGAAGACGCATACCCTACCGATCTTCCTCTTTGGAGTTTTAAAAAAGCGATTCCTTCAGTTGATTTGTGATTCATATCTTGATAATCGATTTATTGGATTTGAACATCGGTAAACTATGCATTAAGGATGATCATCACTAGAAGTTTCCTCAGATAGAATTTTCTTATACTTTGCCAATATGTAGATTTAACCATGTTTTTTTTTTCTTCAAAAATATGATTTAATGTATGAGTCACCGTGCTACAGCATGTACAAGCTGTGCAAAATTTCCCAATTTTGCATAGATTATTTATAAAAATGAGAATGTAGGTTTTATAATATGCGTTTGGAATACAGAAAGAAAGAAAAATGTGTCATCGGATTTGGTGTCTTGCTACAACTACAAAAGGAAAACTTCATTATAATTCCTTTATAAAATATTTACTGTAAGGGCGATCTTCCCGTATCTAAGTAAATTAAATAAAAGTGCACCAAAACTAATATTTTGTATTTGTAAAGATTGTTTACTGCTATTTTACGATCCGAGATGGCGGTAAACAATTAATCTATAAAAACTGAATATGTTCTATTCTTTACATAATTGGAATGCCCCCACTTGTTGGTCAAATATCTAGTTATGACTTGCGAATCACTAAACATTATGTAGTACCCTATTAAAGATATTACACGAAAATCCTTTTTTCATCTACTATTATTGAATGAAATAGCCTAAAGGTGAAATACCAACATTGATGTTTTTCCCTATTAGTCTTTGTTAAACTTCCACTTAAAAAAAAATGTGCAGAATTTATCTTTGTTTCAAATAAAGAAATACTTGGCGTGGTTCATAAGTATGTCTCGTTTCTCGTTTTTTATATAGATTAGAACGTTGGTTTTCCGTTTGAATGGTTTTACACTAGTATTTTTTGGGGCCCTTTATAGCTTGCTGTTCGGTGTGAGCCAAGGCTCCGTGTTGAAGACCGTACTTTGACCTATAATGGTTTACTTATATTAATTTTGACTTGGATGGAGAGTTGTCTCATTGGCACACATACCACATCTTCTTATATATAATGAACGAAGTTTTATCCTGTCCAGTACTATAGACAAAATTTCACAGAACATTTCATTGCAAATATGAAAATATCTATCACTGGAAGTTAACCAATCAAATTTTCACCCCTTTTTTCCTGTGAACAAGCTTTAGTAACCATGTAACCTCATGTTTCCCAAATTTTCTATAGAAACACCAAATAAAAAAATAATGGTGCTTGAAACACCCAAGATATATGTTTAGCACTCAGACATTTTTTACTGCAATGAAATGTAGGATTAATTTCCTACAACTGTCAAATTCAAGGGAATATTTTTACACCCTTTTTCGTATGCAACCGGATATGACGTAATATGATTTGGTTGTATTACACCTAAACCACGACGTACGTACGCGTACTTCCCGAAATATAAATAAACTTGAACGAAAGTTCAAATCTAATTGATACAGCTACCTTCCTAATTTAGGTGTTGTGACTTAATACAATGTATACACATTTGAGAAATATGTGCAGTTCTTTTAATGCAGAATTTCATCGTATTAATATTGAACCCAATCCCTCATGCAGCTGTTGCCATCCCGTTGGGGATAGTTTTCACTTTTTTTTTTTCTTTTTTTTTTGTTCTTTTTTTCACAACGATGCAAGAGAAATGTTTTTAAAATTAGAAAGATATGCTATATCAATTGAGCTTTTATTGGCCGGTGACGGTGACCTTTCATTTCAACGAAATAAAGAAATTAGTCTGTACAATCATGTATCAGAATAACTATGTACACACAGATTAAAACATCAATTAAAATTCTGAATTCCTACTTTCTAACACTTCCCGCCAGTCCAGTCTTATTTGATATTTCATATTATATTGTATTTTTTGTTTTTGTTTTCTTTTTGTTTGTAGTTTGTTTAAGATGCATTTGTCTGAACACAATTTGATAGTCCCTTCCTAATCTACATATTTCACACGTGTATAACAAATATCCCGATAGTGTACCTCTAACTGTGCAGAAAAAATGTAAAATGACAAAAATACCGAACTCCGAGGAAAATTCAAAATGGAAAATCCCTAATCAAATGGAAAAATTAAAACCTCAAACACATCCAACGAATGGATAACAACTGTCATATTCATGACTTGGTACAGGCATTTTCTGATGTAGACAATGGTTAATTAAACCTGGTTTAATAGCTAGCTAAACCTCTCACTTGTATGACAGTCGCATAAATTCCATTAAATTGACAAAAATGTGTAAAAAAAAAACCCAGACATAATATGTAAAAATGTCAAAAATAGGGGTACAGCAGTCAACATTCTGTTATCATCTTAATCATATAAAACAAACAAATATGTCAACCAAGACAAACAAAAAGGCATTGACACAAAGCACATAAGCAAAACAGTTTCTTTCTAAAAGGAATTCAATCATCAGTATCTTTAATAACAGTTTTGAATGTATAAGTACATTTCTCACTGTTAATATTTGATTTAAACTGTTCTATGACATATTATTCTTAAGAGAGGAAAGTAATGATTCCAACTATTCCAGATTCATTAAAAATGTATGGCCGTCTATCTTATGGTGGCTCGGGTGACTTCCTCCATCTTGGATTTTGAAGTAGCAGATAACAATTGGTCTAAATCTTTGATTGAATGTGCAAATTTTGAGAGGAGTATGTAATTTATGTGTAAGACTTCTAATGTTAACATAGAAAATTATGTGTCTTATCATATTTATGTCTGTATTTTCTAAAAAAAACACAATATTTCTGTTTCATTAATTTTTTTTCAACTTTTCAAAATAAGGAGAGATAGCTCAGATAGTAGGGGAGATAACTCAGATAAAGTAATTTTACAATAGAAAGTGTTGTATATATATCTATTTTAATATGTAGCAAGAAAACAATTTCGGTGACCCCATTTTTTCTTTTTCTTATCTGAAAGCATGTTATTAGAGCTGTCTTCTCGCATTTTATCTTAAAATTCTATGGTGTAGTTTTTTTTTTTATCACACAAAATTGAATTTTTCATGCATAATCTATTGAAAATCTGACAATTTTGCACATGTAGCGTGAAAAAAAGTCCGATGACACATACTTTTAATTGTATTTTTGAAAAAGCATGATAAAAACTTCATTTTGACAAATTATTAAAACATTTTATAGATTTTAATTAAGATGCCCCAGCCACCTTAACTACATTATTAGTAACATCAGTATTTGCTCTCAAATCAAGACATGTTTACAGACAATTGAAATCGAAATTTAACCAAAAAATCCAAACGTTTTAGCAGAATCTAGTTAAGCTGAGCTAAGGTGCTCCGGCAGCGAAAAAAAATACTGCTCCATATGTGTCACCCGTCGTTAAATTTCTAATTGTACGTTAATATTCTTTGACAAGTCGACAAAGCTATTTCAAAATTTTCGAAAAGGTTATTTTACTATTACGCGAGGGTGAAAAATCTAAATTATTTCCCGCAAGCAGAAAAGGTGTATTAAGCATTTTGGTAAGATTTGTCTTCATGAGAATGAAATTTTAAAACACTTGGAAGGTAAAGTTATGAGTTTTCACAATAAAAGAGTATAGTACAATTTTATATTCTATAGTTTATCATCTCCGTAAAAGAATATATTTTCGACATTATTTTGCGAGCATTTTAAGACGAAGAAATCGTTTATTCAGCTAAAAATGATTTGCGCTGAAACACTGCGATTTAGATTTTGATCTTTGAAAATATCAGATAAAATGAAATTAATCCTTTTCTAAATACAATGTGTCAAAAAGAATCATTATTTACTTTTCTCCAAAATTAGGCAAATTGCTATCTTACCGATGTGGGACACATGTATATAATTATTCATCTCTAAAAAAAATATAATAGGACTGACGTTGAGTACGATTACAGATTACGATTAAACCATGTATGAAAAGCATAATATATCTTCACCGGTTACATAACATTAATCTAAGAAAGCTCATCAAAGATACCAAGCTTATAACTTTGTACACTAGACGTGCGTTTCGTCTATATACAACTCATTAGTGTTGCTCGAAATAAAAATGGATCTAACTTGTGTATGTACTGTCAACTTGTTCTCATCCAGAACATGCAGGAAATATTTGCCACTGGACGTTAAACAGCCAACAATCAATCCATCAATCAATCAATCAATCAATCAATCCTAGCTCATGGTTATATTAATATTACCTTCTTGCTTTTTCCTCTATCCATGCTTTCAATTGCACAAAATATAATTACTCTCTATAAAATATTTGTTTTATATTTCTCTGAATTTCTATTAACATTGTTAACACAACATGTCAACATTTCTCGCACAATACATTGTTACAGTAACGTAATAACAGTTTTGTTAGACCTTTTTGTTGTGGGTCAAAACTAATGACGTGAAGAGGAAAACCCCACGTATTTAAATATATAAAGTAAAGTCAGGTAAATATGCAGGATACAGTAGTACCTGTTCATTGGAACGTTGATAATGAAGGACACATGAACCATGGATATTTTGATTTATATGATTTGATTAAAGGTATAACGTAACATATGTTTATTCTTTGTTCTGGAATACCTCTTTTGATTAAATAAATTTCAAATCTAAATGATAATATGTTATTGGTAAACAAAACACCAAATAATAAATTATTTGCACTTATGTTTCTAGATATTCAAAAGTTTTTACGGTCAGTTATTATTGAAATTGCTAAACAACGAACGAAAAGCGACATTGAGTATTACAATTACATGAAAAACTGAATACAAGTAATGCTTTTGACAATTAAAAAAAACTGTCTAGCTTTTATTTGTGAAAAATCCATCAATTGTCAAAGTTCATTATTTTTATTTAGGTAAAATACTAAGACATCGGGAGAATGAAATGATGCACCATTTCAAAATTTCAAAAAAAACAAATTCATTAGATCTCAATTCAAAACAAAACTTTAGAAATCTGGAAGAATCAATAGAAGATCAATATATAATCAGCAAACTAAAACCACAAAATGAGGTTAAGGATGTTTGCTACTCTAGTTTTAGACTTTTTTGTCAGATATTCGGAATCCTCTAGTTTTATCCAATGTAATACCAATAAAAAATTTGCCCGCTAGCCCTCACTTTTCTTTGCATAATTTCATTAAATATATTTTAAAAAGCCATATTTGAAAATCTTATAAAATCCTTGTTATTTTTTCATAGTTTTTGAAAGGAAAAAGGTGCTAATGTTAAATGTATGAAAAATCTAGAGAGAATCATTTTGCGCCAAATTTTCAATTGATTATATCTCATAAATAAGGACACGGACCTGTTATTATTTTCTGATTTTTAAGTTCTGTTATTTATAAACTATCAATTTGTAATAATCTTTTAAAAAGCTTGTTATTTTGAAGCAGAGGAGCGAACATCCTTAAACCACCTGTGGATTAGAAAGATGACCTTAGATTATAAAATGAAACCCGTTGTTATTTCTTTTTTATCTACTCAAACTTTGCAATATCATGCCAGTACAAATTCAAATCAAATTAAAAAAAAAACAACACTTCTTTCAAATAAAAAAGCGTTTCGGACGCACAAAATTTATAAAGTCTTATTTTTTTTTTCTACCGATGATCAAACTAAGGCTACAGTATTTTACAGATGATTAAATTAAGATTACAGCAATTTGCAAAATCAAGGTTACATACAAAAACTGGAAAAATAGCCTGAACTCCAAAAGGAACGAGATCAAGTAAGCGTAGTCTGCTTTTCGTGCATCACTCCCATCCAAATTCAAAGCTCGTAAATCCATTTTGAATACACAAACGTACAGAAAACAAACTAGTGACTTGTATGAATTTGATAAGCAACGAGACCAGGTGCATCAAAAGGGAACACGTCTCCTGTCATGCTAATCACTGAAAAATGTCACAACGAGTAATAGAACTTAATCAGCTAATAGAAATAAGGAGATGTGGTATGAGTGCCAATGAGACACCACTCCATCCAAGTCACAATGTGTAAAAAGTTAACAATTATAGATCAAAGTACGGCCTTCAACACGGAGCTCACACCGAACAGCAAGCTATAAAGATATCACAAAGTGACTAGTGTAAAACAATTTAAACAGAAAAACCAACGGTCTAATCTATAAAAAAAAACCGAGAAACGAGAAACACTTATGAACCACATCAACAAACGACAACCACTGAACAACAGGTTCCTGACTTAGGACAGGTGCTAATACTTAGATTAGACGACTATTCTGATGGACTCTAAAGATCAGATTGTTTTGATTGATTGATTGGAGTTTAACGCAACTTTCAGCACTATTACGCTGTTTCGTAGCGGTCAGTATTTATAAGTGAAGGATGCCGGAGTGCCCGGAGAGAACCACCAACCTTCGGTAAGAAAATTGGCAATCCTGGTAATTTACAGTCGGATGCACCTGCCACGTGCGAGACTCGAACTTACAACCTCAGTGTTGACAGGGTAGTGATACAGTAGTTGGACTACTTAGACCACTAGTCCATCGAGGCCCCTTAAAGATTAGAGATTGCGAATACATCGCATTGTATCTGCCAACTTGTTCACGATTGCTATCGAAATTTTTTTCGCAGTGTTGGATTCAGTCGTAATGTATTCTAGCAAATGACGTGCGTATTGGGAGAACGTACACGTTTGTAATGTGTCAATTTAGAATATGTAGATAACACTTCATAGTTTGGAAATGTTGAAAGCTAATGATGTTCAAAATACCTAAATGCGTGAGGATATATATTCCTGAAATGACCTAAAAGATAGCCAATTTCATTTAGGATGTACTTACATGAAACTGTTAGGTCATGGAGCTCTTTTTCGATATATTTGATTTTTTTAAAATGGCGGGAAAAGGCTGACTCGGACTTTTACTTTTTATTTGCATTGGTATTATTTGGGTGTCAAATCGAAAGAAAAGAAATCTGGAATCTGCTTAAATTTTGGTAAATGACCTTTTATGAGCTATTGAAGTCTTATATGAAAAGAAAAATGGGTGTTATGGGGTAAAATATTTTATCCTGTAATGAAAAAAAACACCAAGCAGTCCGAACATCTGACACAAATTCCCAATCCTCACTCTAGTACATCCTTAAACGTCGCTTTTGCCTCAGAAAGTTTTAACTTTAGTTTTTAAAATCCAATCATCACGTTTGTCATCTAGCATAGTTATAAGAACTCGACATGTTCAAAATTAAAAAGACGGTCCAGATATGAACATGAACTTCAAGTTTCAGTACAGCCCTAAATGTCAAGTTCACTAGGATTGGGATACAGTGGAGCCAGGTTTTGCTGATAACAAGTTTATTGGGTGACAGGGCATCATCAATGTAAATACTAAAGTGGAACTAAAGAACGTTTGACGATCCGTTTTTCATTTTTTTCTTTGAGAATTATTTGTATGAATTCTACCAAATATAAATACAACAATAGTGCACACCCTGAAATATCTCGCTTGCTTGGCTAAGTATGCCTGAACTTTATGTGTAACGTCTTTCAGATCAAGGTTTTACTACATTTATCACATAAACTGAACATTATCAATGAAACATGAAAATATGATCAAGGTCAGTTGTACCTTGCCGGGGAGAATTTTTCGCCTACAACGAATGTCATAGAAGTACGAGCCACAAGTTTACTAACGAGGTGGCCATTCCATGCATATACTTTATTTGACATGCTGCTAATAATATATGAAACAGACATACTCACCAAAATTTGACGTTTACCATTAAACCATGAAAATAAAACCAAAGTAAGATGAACCGTACCATTCAGGGACACCTTACAAGCATTTTATGTACTAAATATAATTGATTTGCCTTTTTACTCAAAATTGATGACAAAAAAAATCGCTTGACAAAAAACTAAACCTGTTTTTAGGCCATTGCTGAACCTTGACAATAAGGTCAAGGACAACAACATATACGAAACGGAATAAATATTTGTTGTCACCATTACGAATTAGTTGACCTATACGACGTGTGTGTATCTCAAATCACAAGATAGTTTTACGTTCTTAGAACTAGATACCAGAATAGTGTTCTGAACTGTGACCTACTCCTAGTGTGATAACTAAAGACGCGAGGACTTTAGCCAGGTAAAAGAGAGGCGAAAGAGACATGTAACAAAGGAACGACAAAGTCGAAAATAAACTGACAACGCCATGGCAATAAAATAAAAAGTCCAAATGACAAACAATAATATACAAAACACATAGAAGACTAAAGAATAAACAACACGTAATCCACCATAAACCGTGGGGGGTCTCAGGTGCTCTGGAAGGGTGAACAGATCCTGCCCCACATGTGGCAATCGTCTTCTTATGATAAAGCTGACCAAATCAATAGCTAGTTAACGTCAGTAAAGATGTGATAAGGATGTTTTAAAACATTCATCGTACAATCAAAAGAAGCTAGCATTATCATTAAACTTACCATTCCGCTATATAGATTATATCCGCTCACCAAATAATTCAAAGTTTGGTGACTATATAATACGCATATGTCCTGTCGAACTCGAAGTAAAGGATACCACTGTTATAATTGATTTTGTTTCATAAGTTGACCTTCATTTAGAAATTGACAATAAAAGTTGATTAAAACCAAAACATTAAAACAAAAGATGTGATTTCTAGTTCTCATCAAATTTGTACTTATATAAGCAACACCACGGGTGCCATATATGGAGCAGGATCTGCTTACCCGTCCCGAACACATGAGATTCCCCCCGTTTTAAGTTTGTGTTGCTCAGTTTTTTGTTTTCTATATTGTATTTCTATACTGTTGTGTTTTTCGTCGAATTCTATTTTTTTATATGGCATTGTCAGTTTGTCTCCGACTTTGAGTTTGTTGATTTTTAAACTATGTTTGAAATATGCATGCAATGTATAATGTTTATATTTCATTGTTTATCAAGAGAATTTCGATAGAAACTTGTTATATTGATATTTAAATATGTTAATTCCACTTGCATATTGATAAAGAAAAATGGAAAATATCATATCACTGTTTCTATACACAAATCTTAAGAGTGTACCAGACAGTCCTTAGCATGGTTTAATATACCTAGATATATCTATGTTTTACGGCGATCTGTTCATTAACATGGTTATTTCCAATATTGAAATATTTACTTCAAGTCCAAATAACGAAATAAAGATTATGTCTGTTCAGTTAAAGAAACACTATTTGTTTTAAACTTGTATCAACAGTTTTGATTAATATCTAATATGTCGTCTCGATTTTTCTACGTACATAGACAGTCTTCTCTATATATTCTTTTTAATAAGGTTTTCACTAATTCAATATTTGACGTATTGAATGGAATGGGATTTGCATGGCAGATGGTGACTACATTGTAGAAGACGCCAACACTG